CAGAATGTCCTGAAAACGCATCAGACCCTAATAAAAAATAAAATGCAAAAGTGCATAGGTCTAGTAAATGTCACTCTTTGGCAACATGTGGTTAATTTCGTGTGTGAAATACAACTTTTTTTATTTGTTACCAGGGAACACTGGTCTCTTGCACAAGCACCAGCTATTTGTAATAGTGTAAATGTGGGAAAAGAGGCATTTCTGCTGGCTGGAAATGAAGTGAGATTGTTGTGTTTATGTGGGAGTGCACCTTGAGAAGGACCACAGTACAAGTTCAAAAATGCTGAACTTACACCAGCTGTCTATTCATTTTTATTGAGCTATTTAAACCTATGAAGGGCATTGAAGCCGGCACATCTAGGAGACAGGAAAAAAAACAGTCAGTTAAAAAGCAAATAACACAATTGGAATATCCACATGATAACATTGTGGAAACGGCCCCATTGCAGAAATTTCAAGTGAGTTCCTTAGCACCTGAGAGCTAACAGTGTAAGCCTCCGCTGCCCCCTCTTTCATGCAGCTCTGGTCAAAATACAAGTTAAAGAAACCACCCAGTTCCATTCAAAATGCACAAGGAGCTGGTAATCCCCTCAGCTCACCCTGTGTTCTCTGTCGCTGCAGAGCCTACAGTCCAACCTGAGATTGACATCAGTTCGGTGGAAGGCCGCAATGCTACCGTTCGCTGGCGACTGCCTCCCAACAGTGGCGTTAATGCTGCCACGGCCAGTGGCTTTTTAGTGCGGCTCTTCGGGCCGCCACCCGACAGTGAGAAACTGCTAGAGGAGACCACCCTGCTCAATGTGCTCTCCACCAAGTTCCACAAGCTGGAGTATCAGCAGGACTACACCGTGGTGGTGCGTCTCATCAACTGTGGCAGCCTTGGGCCACCCTCCAAACCCTACCACTTTCGCATCAACAGCCAGGGTAAAGAAAACCTCTGCTGCTGGTTGGGAACAAGCTACAGGGAAGGCTGCTTTTAAGTGCTGCAGGATTTCCAAAGCAGTTTATATTGTATTTACAGTGGTGTTTGGCAAAGCACGAGGTTAATGCAATAAATCGTATATTAAAAGCTCATGATGAATACTTCAGTAATCATCTTAAACTGATTGAATTTAACCTCAATAAGGAGAAGGAAAATTAACATTGATAAGAAATTCTTGCTGATTGGTGCTTGCTAGTTCTTGGTGACTCTCTCTCTGCCCACAAACTATGTGTGAATTGAGGAAAAGTTTATCAGCTGAGAGTTGTGAATCCAGAATATGTTTTAGCAAGTCGGGAACAGATCTATTTATTGGAATGACAATTAAATCTTTCATTTTTTTATCGTTGGTGTTAAATGTTTGTCAGTGCAACCAAGCTGAAAGTCTCTGATGGTATCAACTGTTTAATTTTTAGAATATAATGTAATGGAATAATTTCTTTGTCTCAGGACCATCATCCCCTCGCAACGTCCAGGCTCTGCCTCTGTCAGTGTCAGCCATCCAGGTGAGGTGGCAGCCCCCCGAGGATCCCAATGGAGGCATCATTAAATACATCATAGAGTACCAGCCGGTCGGCCAGGGGAGCCCTCACCCTTGGGTGGACACGGACGACGGGAACAAGACCACCAAAGATGTCACGGCGCTCAATGGCAGCACGCTTTACCAGTTCAGAGTGAGGGCGTTCTCCAAAGTGCCCGGAGAGTGGAGCAAGTTTGCTCAGGCAATGACACAGGGGGACGGTGAGTGGAAATGTGTTGTCCTGTCAGCTACCTTTATCTACACTGTAAGTATAAATAATAAAAAATATCTAAAAATATATTTTTTTAAATAACTGCAAATATCTGCAAAATGTTATTTTTGCTGATTTAAATACAGTAAAACTGTACATTAAGGGTCAAATGTTATGTGAAAGAACTGATTTCTATTTGTAAAAATACTCATTATTAATGTGGATGTAACAGTTTGGGGCGGTTTGTTTTTTGTTTTTTTCAGGATTACGTGTAAAGTTATACTTTATCATGTGCTTTTATTATTTTTTATCTTGTTATATTCTGTTTATTTCTTACTGTGTACAAGTACTAAAACAGAACTTATGCTGCAAATGCAGTCGTAGGGCATTTCTAAGCCTGATATATTGGTATTTTGTAAGTTTGGATTGACGTGAAAATCATATAATCATATAATTGTAGGACAGCAAAAATGTAAACGTTGTACATTATTAAAATTAGTTGTCTTTTCAAAGAAATTGACCAAATAGTCCAGTGTACTTCTACAAACTAAGAGCTTTTTATGGTTACTTTGATGTAACATTTATTTTCTTTTCACAGTAAAAATAGCTCCCAGTGGAAAATCTCTTCACTACGATATTTGTAGCCAATAATGTTCTTTTCCCAGGTGGAGTTAAGCAGGACCACCCACACAGAAACAGGGATTTATTCATTCCAATAATATGTCTGCACTACAACAGTATATTTATCTCTACTGTCTGAAAATCATCTCTATCTTTCTTCTTGGCTCTTCTTTCCATCTTGGCCGCCCCATCCTCCGTTTCCATCTCTTCCCGTCTGCTTGAGAAGGCCTTCAGAGCTTAACCCCGACCACCCAGGGTGTGACTGGGAGGCCTGCTGTGGACAGTTACCAGCTGCTGGTGGCCGTGGTGGGCTCGGTGACTGTCACCTGTGTGACTATACTGTTGGCACTGCTGGCTCTGTTCTTCATCAGGAAGACGCTGCTCAATCGTCGCCGCACCTTTACTTACCAGTCTGGATCGGTGAGAACGCGCCACTGCTTAAGATTTTTTATTCATAATTTTTGGAAAACTGATGGATTTACTTAGGGAGTGGTTGTCAATTGCAATTTATGTGACAAAACTCAGATGAGAGAGTCTGGTCTTGTATTTTTGCTGACTTTAGACTGTTTATATCACCAGGGCGAAGAAACTATTCTGCAGTTTAACTCAGGAACTCTGACTCTGACACGAAGGCCTAAACCCACACCAGAGCCCCTCACCTATCCAATCCTCGAATGGGAAGACATAAAGTTTGAAGATGTCATCGGAGAGGGCAACTTTGGCCAGGTCTTTAGACTCCTACTGCACATTCTAAATATGTAAAATGATTCTCCCGTGGTTGCTGCTGTGCTTTTTTTTGCATAGAGTCAAACATTTGAGCTAACAACAGTTTCAAAATCAGGTCATCAAAGCCATGATCAAGAAGGATGGCAACAAAATGAGCGCAGCCATCAAGATGCTTAAAGGTAAATATGGCACACATTCACCTGAAGGCAGAGTATACAGGTCTAATTCAATACACTGTCCATTTCGGCTGTGCATTTGATATGTTTGCTCAAGAAAATTGGTGTTTGCGCACAGCCCTGGTCAGAAAGATGTGATATGACCAATGCCACCACCCCCAAAATGACAATCATCTACTTTAGAAATAAATCTGGTCAGTCGAATTCTTGGACTGACTCAAACATGGTGTCATGCAACTGTGTGGAGAGTATCCTGTTGGATGTAAAGCTATAAAAATAAATTGTTTGTGGGCCAGTCACCAAATTCTTCAGATTCAGATTTAACTGGCGATTCTATTCAGTTTTATGTCCTGGTGGCCTTTAAAAAGAAATTAGAGTATGACTTTCTCCCCATTGATTCAGATAGGGCCTGAAATAACTGCCTGGGGTCAATACCAAGATGGCTGCCCAGTGGCGAGACTTGTCCTTTAAGGATTTTGCCCTGGCTGTGTAATGGTGGCTTATTATTTCAGTGTGTCTTGTGCATATTCTTGCTCAATCATAGTAGAGGGAGAAAGTAAGGGGGAGGAGAGATGTAGAGAAAAGGGGCAGTGGGTGCTGAGATGGTAAATCTGGGGCATGCAAATTATCTAAAAATGCAAACTTGCTAAATATCAACAAGCTTTCTCCCCAACCAGAGACTTCACTTTTGAACACTTACAAACACATACGGTGTAGACACATGTATCACACACAAGCCCACTGACCCACAGAGCACCGTCGAGGAGAGCACGCTCTGACTGATGCGAAAACTTCATTTCAAAGACGCCGACCGAAGATTGCTTTGCTTGCACTTTGTTTAACGATGCCGTGCGTGCTGTTCCTCCTGCAGAGTTCGCCTCGGAGAATGACCACAGAGACTTTGCAGGGGAGCTGGAGGTGCTGTGTAAACTAGGCCAGCATCCCAACATCATCAACCTCATCGGAGCATGCGAGAACAGAGGTGAGTGAGCGACATCTAGTGGTGGTACTGAACATTGAGTCTCTGTCAAGTTGGGATTTCTAAGCCACTGCTGCTGGCAGCGACGGTAGTCCACAAGTTGCATAAAGTCACAAGTTTAAAGTTAACTTCCTGAGTCGTTCAAGAGCTTTGATCAGTTGTCATAGAAATAGATGAGAAGTTCAGATGCTTTTGTGATTTCATCTGTAGTTTTTGTAGGTAGCCTGTTGTCATAATAAAAATGATGGTGTGCATTACAAAATACATGCAAAGTCTGTCCAAAGAGTTGAAGGGTGTAAATGTACTTTTGTTTTTTTTTTGTTTGTTTTTTAAATATACTGTATGTCAGGAGTCTTTATCAAGGACTAAAAATCCTGAGCAGATTCCAGTTCTATCCTTACTTATTGAGCTCCTTCCTCCCCAACATGCAGCGCTGTTCTTGAACAGGTTAAATTCTTCTCCCACCCATCCCATCTGCTTCTCAGTCATCTGCACCTGGAAAGCACCAGAATGCGTCCAATCTAAATAATGTTTGCTTGCCAGAAGCATTTGCGCTATCACATTTGTTTGATTTGTCCTTGCGCCTCACAACTAAACTGCTGTGGCATGTATTTATGTATTTGTACAAGGTTTCCTTGGAACCACTTCTTACCATGAAGGATCAGTTTTCACCAGCTACATCCAGTGGTCTCTAAAGTGAATAATTGAATTACTTTTGTTTGATCAAAGATGGATAACATGAGAGAGGAAATCTAGTGTGTAAAGAACATCAGTAAGGACATTACAAAACCAAATCGGCCTTGAAAAATAAACATCTGACTAGTTCAGTGTGTCTCTCCAGCGGTCTCACTTTCAAGTAGCGTTTTACTCTGCTGGCCTTCACTTCACAGTGTTTACATCTGTTGGTTAACTTCAAGGTTTATTCAGTGATACAAGCACAGAATAGGTAGATACCTCCATTGAAGCAGCAGATGCAGCAATGCTTGTTAGTGTAGCTTTGAACAATCATATAAATACCTACAGATTTACAAGTATTCAGAGAAAACCTGCAGTCTTCACTCAGTGTTGTGAAAAGATCAAAAGAGAAGGGATGGGGTGAGGACAAAGGAATGTTATAGGGAGGGAGGAAAGCAAGAAGAAATGTTAGAAGATAAGACAATAATGAATGTGACCAAGAAAAAGTACTAAATCCTTTCAGGAAGTAATATTTCTTTCTCATGCAATTTGCAGGTGTTCTTCCTGTGCTGCCTCCCATTTTGCTTTGAGTAACTTCTAAGGGAGAAGCTGTTAAGAGGGATTTCATTGCAAAAGAAAAAGTCAGTGGCTTCCAGTGAAAGCTGTTACTGAATTGCTGTTTTGGGAATTTTGGGAGTTTTCAGCCTCAATTTTTTTTCTCTCCCAGTTTTGGGTTTTTACACACTTGATCCATTCAGCATCTGTCTATCATTTTTGTGAAATGGGTAATATCGTGTAGTTTCTCACTCACTTTGTCGTCTTACTGCTATCTGGAACAAATTTGCTCTCGCTCTCATATCAACATACTGGAGGAATTAGGTGTGTCCTGGAGGAATTCAGCACTGAGCTGCTGAGTGATAATAGAGGAGGGGGGAATGAACAGAGGAGATATTTGATAGATACTCAAATGTCAAGAGGAAGATAAATACGCCCTGCATGAAGGATATGATTTATCACTGCTTCATTTTGAGAAATTGATTTGGAAAGAAGTTGAAGTAGGACACACAGTATGTCCTTGAAGAACAGAGGTTCTTGTCGTTTCTGAGTAACGTGACTAACTTATGTTGGCACGCTTCCTGGTCCTGGTGAAATCAACATGAAACCCCTCCAATATCTACAAATGACTCATGACCTGTAGGAACTCTGACTTTGGCTTCATCAACAAGCTTCAGCCATCTGTTTGAGCTCTGTTAAGATTTTACAAAAGCTCTGCTCTACCTCTGATGTGTCAAAACCAAATTGTTGAAGGCCAAGTCCTTCACCGGCAGGAGCTGGGTTTCCTGCCGGGCTAATGCCAGCAGGACAGCGAGGCCACACTCACAGTTTTTGGATAAACTAAAACGATATTGTCATTGTGATAGTCTGGCTGAGCTACTAGCAACTCGTACAAAGAAAAGGTGAAATGTTTATTAGCAGGATCCATGACTTCTTTTAATGACTATGGGACTTTACAAGGATTTCACAAGGAGCTATTTCAATACAAACTGGAAAACTATCTAAAAATGATCACACAGTGTTCTTATAAAATCCAATTTGTGTCTCTCTCTGTCTTCTGCAGGTTACCTGTACATAGCCATAGAATATGCTCCCTATGGCAACCTGCTCGACTTCCTGAGGAAGAGTCGTGTATTGGAGACCGACCCTGCCTTTGCAAAAGAGCATGGTACTGCGTCCACCCTCACCTCCCAGCAGCTCCTGCAGTTTTCTGTGGACGTGGCGACTGGGATGCATTACCTCAGCGACAAACAGGTAGAAGGAGGAACGGCATGCACATGTGGCTGCTGATCCAAACATGATTTTAAATCTGATTCCTCTTTAAGTTGCCTTTTGGTAGTTAGTGTTGTGATTACAAAACATCTGATTTACAGATTTTTTTTGATATGTTTAGAGTATTTAGAGTGGAATCTTATCTTGTTGAGATATTTCACTGTGCAGATATTACAGTGTCAGGCAATTCAATAGTAAATGCTGTGTTTTACTAAGAAAAACTGTCCTATTCCACTCACTGTGTTGACCCATTTGAAAAACATGTAGCATTACATTGAGTTAAATATTTAAGCATTTCTGTTTAAACACACTATAATCCCCAGTAATGACTCTGTTTTCCTCCTCCACTCTCCTGGCACTAGTTCATCCACAGGGATTTGGCAGCGAGGAATGTTCTTGTCGGGGACAACCTTGTAGCGAAGATAGCAGACTTCGGTCTGTCCCGCGGTGAGGAAGTTTATGTTAAGAAGACAATGGTGAGTGGTGGGGTCTTGTGCTGTTATCAGAAGTTTCAGAGTCTGTTTTGCCTTCAGCCTGCAGAGGAAACTAGTTGTTGGAGACACAAGTACTTCTGCACTGCATGAATTTTCACTTTAATAAGAGCAGATTGCATCGGCTGTCGTAATGCACACGCCTCTCACATGTCACATCATGATAGTAATTAAAGTTTTTTTATTTGAAATAGCAAAAGACAAATGTGCTGCAAAGACAAACAGTCACAGACATTTACCAGCAGATTGCAGCACATGATGTAATTTTGTGTTAGCAGAGTGTAATATCTTCAGTCTGTCAGTTCATTAACAAGACAAATGGGATCAACTGTAGAGGGCAGTCATGTGTAAATATGTCAACTGTGGCGTAGTGGTATGGGAGCAGCGTAATACATTGATCGAATAGGCAATGTGGAAGACTAATTCAGATTTAAGCAGTTTTTTAATGCCTTCTTCCTTTGTTATGTTTTCAATCCCCTAAACCCCAAATCTGCCAGCATGTTATCTTGAAGCAAAATCACCAACATGATCTGATTTATTCGAGCCAGAAATCATGAAAACAGACAGAATTATTAGACTTTCTGCTAGTCTTTAACTTGTGATCTGTGACATGTAGCAATTTGCAAAAATGAACCGTATCTAAGCATAGAATTGAAGTCTTCCATCAAGGTCACTCAATTTTACATGTCTCATTTAAAAAGTTGCCTAAAAAATAAAGCATTTGCTCAAATCAGATTCTGTAAAAACCAAAAAATTCCGAGCGCCTCTGTGCAACTGTGTAATCATTAGCAACTCAGCAGCAATCAACAGTCTTGTGACAAAAATTTAGGGATTTTCAGCTGAACTGGACTGAACTGCAGGCGCTGTTTACACAGAGCAGAGAGGGAGACGTATGGAAACAAATGAAAAATGTAAATAGTAAAGTATCTTACAGCATGTGAAGTCTTTTCTTTCTAGTGTTTGTAACACATGAGGACACTTGGAAAAATGCTGTACATGTTGATTCCAGATCCTTTCATATTTAAAAAAATATATGATCTAAGAAGTGCAATTCTTCATCACACTGTTTCCATAGAGGTGCAAGACTTTATAGTTCAGTAAAAACTAAGCATGCAGTGAGTAAAAATAAGACAGGGGCAAAAAAAAACTGCTTAGGTTTTAGAGGATTAATATTTAGACTCTGACTCCGATATACATGGCAGAATGTTTGATATGAATGTGCTGCTTGGTTTTCAGGGGAGGCTGCCGGTTCGCTGGATGGCCATCGAGTCCCTGAACTACAGCGTGTATACATCCAAGAGTGACGTGTGAGTTACTGTTTTAACTCAACTAACATAAATACTGACTTTAACAATTGTATCTACGGCAACAGGAGTTTCTTCAGGGCAGGCCAGGTTTACATTGTTTGTCACAAATATTTGTTTAATATTTTGTCTGCATTTAAAGCACATGGTGACTGTAAAACAATAGCCAACAGCTCACAATAATCATAAAGCTTCCTTCTTGTTTCTTCTTTAGTGTCACTTACTGAAAACATTTCAACTTCTAGTGAAGTTTCAATGTTGTGCACCACAAAGGGCCTTGCCACAGAGAACAACAAATCATGCCTCTGTCAGTGGCGGAGTGATAACAGTGTGCTGTGTAACTGATAAGCACAACCAGGAAGCTTTGGGTACAACATAGCAGACAGACAGAGACGTTGGTCTGTCAACTGGAGCCTATTTATACAAAGCAGAGAGCGAGCGAGAAGAGCTCAGGACAGCTAACGGAAAGAAGTGTGATGGCTGACCGTAGAGTCACAGAGTTGTAAACACTGTAAACACTGTACTGTGTGTGAGATAGTGGGAGACACAGAGCAGAAAAGAGACAAGATTAAAGGACAGACAGACGTCACAACCAACACCTGCCGTCTTATCTGATCTAGTGTACAGCACGACATGTGAAACTGGTGCAATTTATCATCAGAGAAATCCGCTAATCAGATCGCAGGAACGATGGTGGTTTCATGTTGTTGTTCTTCTTCAGTTTCCGTGTTAATGTTGAAAAAGATCTGCAATGTTACCATAAAAAGATTTGTGTTATTCTTGTGCTTATTCGTTTAATGAATTTGTGCATTTATCCTATGACATGCATTGTAAAAATGGTGCCTTGCAAAAACACTTTGCAAGGCAGAAGATACGATCAACAGATTCATTTATCTGTGTTCACGAGTCAATAATGAAACCGTCGTCTTCTCTTCTCATCTCCCCTGAAGTCTGAACTACATCACTAAGATTTCTGTGTCATCTTTGTATCTTCTCTCCCAGATGGTCTTTCGGTGTTCTCCTCTGGGAAATTGTAAGCTTAGGTAAGTAAGTATACAGTGTAGCATGAACATACGTTATTTGTGTCATCTCATGGTGTGAAGTTGTGTGTAATCAGTATTTTCTCACCTTTAACTTTATTTGTGTGTGTGCATGTCAGGTGGCACACCATACTGTGGGATGACATGTGCTGAGCTGTATGAAAAACTGCCACAAGGCTTCAGGATGGAGAAACCCAAAAACTGTGATGATGAAGTGTAAGTATACAGTATTTTTTAGCTAGTCATTGTCGTTCTTACATCTCTTTTACCACATTCATCTATGTTTCCCTTTTCAGCTATGAGTTAATGAAGCAGTGCTGGAGGGACCGGCCCTACGAGAGACCCCCCTTCTCCCAAATCTCCGTCCAACTCAACAGGATGCAGGAAGCCAGGAAGGTAAATAAAAGAAAGAGAAGAATACAAATACATCCTGCTGCTCTCTTTAATCCAATTCAGTCCAATTCAAATGTACGAACACAAAACTCACATAAAGTCATCTCTGGGCACTTGACATTGTAAAGCCAAGACCTTCCAGTTGTATAGACAAACCCAATATTTCATAATTGAGCAGTGCATAGTAGCAGTGGGGAGGAAAAACTCACTTTGATCAGAAGAAACCTCCAACAGAAGCAGATACAGGAGTCAGGTGACTGCCTGTCTGGACTGGTTGAGGCAGGAGGGAGCAGGTTGGTGAGGTCAGTAACTGGAATGCCCTTTAGTGATACCTGCAGAAAGGTACAGGGAAAGAAAGGTTAGAGAGAACAAAGCATAAACTACTGAAAAAGAATACACAGTTAACTGAACACAGTAGTGGCATGTAAGTATAAAGAGTGAAAGAGAGGAGAGGAGAAGAGAGGTGCTCAGGGAATCATAGGAGGCAACCCAGCAGGCCGGCACCCTGAGGCGTCGTTTAGGTCACCTGAGTCAGTCCTGAAGATAAGCTTCATCAAATAGGAAAGTTTTAAGCCTAATCTTAAAAGCAGAGAGGATGTCTGCCTCCTGAACCCAAACTGGGAGCTGATTCCACAGGAGAGGAGCATGATAGATGAAAGCTCTGCTAGAAATTCTGCTTTTAGAAACTCTAGGAACCACAAGTAAACCAGCAGTCTGAGAGCAACGTGCTCTGTTGGGATACATGCTACTCCTAGGTCTTTAAGATATGATGGAGCCTGTTCATTAAGGGATTTGTATGTGAGAAAAAGGACTTTAAATTTCATTCAGGATTTTACAGGGAGCCAGTAAAAAGAAGTTAATATGAGAGAAATATGATCTCTCTTGCTGGTTGCTGTCAGAACTCTCACTGCAGCATTTCAGGTCAGTCTTAAAGACTTGTTTTATTTGTGAACTAAATGACATATCTTGATCACAAAACAACTCAAATGTTCCTCACATTAGAACTGGAGGAACAAGGCAATGTCATCCAGGGTACCTTAATGGTTCGATAGTGTGTTTCTGAGTTGTTAAAAGCCAATTATAATAAGTTCAGTTTTTTTTTTAATTTGAAACATTACAGGTCATCCAGGCCTTTATGTTTGTAAGACATGCTTGAAGTCTGGTTTCATCGATACACATCTACATGGCAATGGAAATGTAGGCAATGTTTTGTAATTTGTTGCTCACACATTGATTTAAGATGAGATAAAATGGTCACTTCTTTGGTAAAGTCACACCCACACAGTCATACCAAATATTTAATATTACACAAGTACGTTTGACTGTGTTGGGAGGTAAAAAAAAAAATTCATGAATAAACTGCAGGTCTTGGGGTTTAGCAAGAACCCTCAGGATGAAGTCACCTAATGAAGCTGAAGTAGATTAAAACAGGTTTTCACAATGTAAAAGCAAAGCAGTGCAAGTCAGACATTTGGCCAAATTTCTTAGTTGTTACTGACAAAAATTGGACTTTTTTTGCTGTACATATGCAAGGTACTGATATGCTGACATAAACAGGCAGAAATCTGGAACCTCTGGGTTGAGATGACACGTGCTCCATTCTTTCCAGTAGAAAAATGATTTCATCAAAGAACTCTTTTTCATGCACATGTTAAACAAAATAACATTAAGAATTGTATGAAATCTGTGGGTCAGGAGAACACACAAAATCAGTGGAACTCTATATTGTGCAGGCATAGGTATATGAAATTCCCATTTGACGTAAATGTTTCTTTTTTTATTTCCATTTTTACTTTTAAATCACAAATTTCTGTCCATCTTTTCAGGCTTATGTGAACATGGCTCTCTTTGAGAACTTCACCTATGCTGGGATCGATGCCACAGCCGAGGAGGCCTGACTACCAGCCCCCCCAGACCCTAGCATGCCACGTAGCTCCAAGAGGAAGTCGCGAGGGAAGTCACCCCGTTACTGCCACCTCCCTGCCACTCAACGTCAAGACAGGAGGAGTAGACGCTCCACCACAACCACCCAGTTATAGGTGGAGGACTGTGAAAGGACACTGTTTGGGGGTATCGCAGGCATTAGATGTGGAGTATGGCCGGGCCTTCGATGGAAAGATGAAACTCCTTCAAACCTTTCTGGAAATATGGCCTCCTGTCACAATCAAATGAAAGAACTGTCTCAGAAAGAAAGACACAGCATTGTACTTCTTGCTTCGACAAAGGTTACAATGGTGGATCTTTTTCTCTGAGCACTGAGAAAAAGTGACAAATGTGGAGCTATGTGACTTGCTGAAACACCACAGGGTCTGTGGGGTGTCAACGCTGGAATTTTCTCTCCATTGCTCTAAATGGAGAAGAAAATGTTTTTCAAAGGACACAGAATGGATCGCATTCAAGTTCTCAAACAGTCTGAGAGTAAACCAAGACTAATTCTGATGTAGCACTTAAAGCAGCCTCATTTGTGCCATCTGTGTCTATTACTATTTGCCTATCACTGCCACGTGAATGTAACTACTACTGTATGTATTTTTGCCTCATTTAAAAGAACATATAGCTGTAGCAAAGCCTCTTATTCAAATGTAGTCAGAGTTACAGACTGATTTAAATGCAACCCAGGTGGATATTCATGTGTTGTATATGCAAAGTTACACCGCAAGAGTAGTTGTTTGGAAAATGAAATGAAAAACTAATACAGAGCAGCCACTCTACCAGCTATCAGCATTATACATGACCTTTAACACTATGCAACCTAATACTAGCGGTAATATATCCACCGTGTGAGAATGTACAGTATGTGTTCATTACCTGGTTTGTTGAATAAAGGTGTTGCGTGGTGACTGGTCTCATCACCACAAGTAGTTCATCTTCATTTGCTGGTATAATGCAGTTCTAAATGACACTGATGTGTTTTACATTCATAATGCTGACTTTAGTAGGGATGGAAGTTGTTGTGTTTGTGTTGGACTGTTGACCCACTTAACAGTAAACAGAGTGAGGAAACTAACGGCCAGGCTACTGGGGGCCCATGTGTCCTCGGGGAGCTCAGGAACACTGATCAGCCCGCTGCACTGAGCTGATCTGTCACTGGGTTTCCCCCACAAACCGACCGCAAGCACAGAAGTGTCTGTCAAACACAGTTTCACTAGGCCAGCTTCCTGATGACTCCCACTTGTGTGTAATAAGGGAACTAGAACGCCATTAGATGTATTTTTATCCCATGTAACTCAAAGATCTAAGTTTTGCATGTAGTACTTCAGCTTGACTATAGACCCTTATCTGACCTCAGCACCAATTCTCCCCATGTCAGCATTGGGGGGAAATCAAAACATTTTTTTTAAAATCTGCCACACAGCAGCAGGTTTCATCCTAATATATTGTTGTAGGAATGTTTTCCAGGGCAGAACCAAGCAACACTGAAGTTGAATATGTTTACAGACTGCACCATCCATTACCCTGATGTGCCAACAGCTTCACTTTAGAGCTGTGGTCCATCTCAAAGACTTCCTTCAGTACGAAGTGAACACCATTGCTAAGTATTTCTACCTTGAAACCAATGATACCAATCATAGTCTTAAAACACAGATACAGACTTCCAGGGTTTTGATTTTTAACTAACCAAAGAACAAATCCTGTCAACTTGCAGGGTGGAACCTTCTGTATCGTTATTCTTCTTCAGAATTGGTTTCCAGTTCAAATGTTTATGGCTGCATTAGCCCACTATTACAACTTGCCATTGCATAGTGTAGAGCATTTAATAGTGCTTGTTCAAAATCCTAGTTGAGCTGGTGTGCTTGAGGTGTAGTGGCTAAGAAAGGGATGATGACAAGAACGTAGCAGTGTAGAGCTGCATTTAAAGCATATTTAGGCAGGAAAAAGGGATCATTTTTATGGGAAAAAAAACTTCTATGCATGCAACTTTGATACACAAGGAGGGGTTTTTAGGGGCATAATCATGAAGTGGAGAGGCGCTTTAATAACTGTCCACCATTGAGATACATGCAATCATACTGGTAAGGCAGCCGTGCTGCTACTAGATAACAGATGAAACTTTTTTTTTGTTCGAAGGTTGGTTAGCTTGAAAAGCAGGTAAATTTGTTGCGAGCTAAGTTACCACTTTTGTGGAACCTGACAGCTACAGATATGATTGAACATCAGTAAAAACCTGTCAAACAAAGTCCATGCATGCACGGCTACTGCTGTTGGAGGTAAGCCCCTTTAAAGCATGTAGCCAAGTTAACCCCATGTTTTGCTATCAAGAATTATTTAATCCATCTTAGTTTGGTGCTGTTTTTCAAAGCATCAGAAGATGTGTGTTTAACCTCATCCAAGGTAGATGACTTGTTATAAAGGAAGAACAGACGGCTTTAGGTCACCTCAAATGACTTAATTTGAAGAGACAAAAAAACATCAGAAAAACAATACAAACGTCCACCTACATTTTCCATTTCTTTTAACCTCTTAAGACCCGAACTCTTACTTGACATGCATTTTTTAAATTCTGTTTGCTGTCTGATCTGATCAAATAGCAAAGAGAATAAAAACAAAAAAAAATATAAAGAAAATACGGTTGTGTCATTGTAATTAGCATGGTGATGAATGATGGTTTTACGGAGACAGTATCCTTCTTATGCTGTTTTTCTTTAGTCTGATATGTAGTCTAATATGTACTTTATCTACTTTAAAGCGGTAAAAGTTAAATGAATCTAGTGCAAAATGTTTATTAATGTACATATAATACATAATACAAAAATTGCATTATTTCACCTCTTTTAAAGTGTCATTTCTTTCCCGTGAAATCCTCCCTTCTGCTGGGAAATACTTGGAACATTAGGGTTTGCATTCTCAACTACACCCTGCATACTCATAGTCACCGTTCTTTGTTCAGTCTTGTATAAATGATAACTGCTGAGTTTTGATAAGCCTTCTGCAATTTGTCATTTGAGTTGATTACATTTTGTGATGAACTGCACACTAGTATTAACATGTCCAACATTTACTGAATGACCACCTCATAACACTATTTGTCCTAGAATCCATTGCATGCATTTGCTTTTTTTTTTTTTTTGTATTTTGTATTACAACTCCACAGATGTGCCCAAGTATCACAGTCAGTCCCAGATCTCATGACAAGATATCTGCTGAAATAAAATAAGTGATTGAGTTGGCATCCTTGTTTGCAGTGACAAGTATTGCTGTTTGGTGAGTTAGCTGTATTGTTTGAAGAGTTCTTGAGTTCTCAAAATTACAAGAACATACAGACTTGTGGGAAACTTGTGTACAACTTTCAGGGCAGTTTCCTTGACTCATTTTACCATCTAAGCTCCCGTGCTGGTAAAGATTATATCAGCGTGTGGTCAGCACTCACCTACTCAAAAATATGTTTTTCTAAAACCAAACTTCATGCTCGTTTCTTTATCAGTGTGTGATAAATAGCACAAGAACATTCAGACTTTCTGTATAGACAAAATCTATAGTTTCTCTACACACACTCTACGTACTATACTATGAGCAGCTCTCGATAAACCAAAACATCACACCCCATGTCACACAGTTCCAAAAACATTCTATCAAATAAGATGGCTGTATTGCACCCTAAAACATCCTAAATGCCACTTGTTCTGACCCGACATTTGATGTCTTTTCCTAAAGTGAAGAAAACTGCAAAAACAAAAGAACAAATGAATATATTTTTTTATGCTTTTAAGAAAGTGTTAATTTTTTTGTACACTGACACTGTTCTACATCGACATCTTTTGACATGAATTTTAGATCCTACACTGTTTGTCAAATCGGGGAAAATTGTGAACTCAAGGAATCTGTGTCACAAAAGTGATTGCACCCCTCACATTTCTGTAAATATTTTATTATATATTTTCATGGGACAACACTGAAGGAATGACACTCTGCTACAATGTGACGGTAGTCAGTGTACAGCTTGTATAACAGTGTCAATTTACTGTTCCATCAGAACTATTCAATATACAGCCATTAATGTCTGAACCACTGGCAACAGAAGTGAATACACCCCTAAGTGAAAATGTCCAATTTGAGCCCAGTTAGCCATTTTCCCTCCGTGGTGTCATGTGACAGTGTTACAGTGTTACAAGGTCTCAGGTGTGAGTGAGGAGCAGGTGTGTTAAACTCTCATACTGCTCACTGGAAGTTTAGCATGGCACCTCATGGCAAAGAACTCTCTGAGGATCAAAAAAAAGAATTATTGCTCTTGTTGAAGAAATTTTACTCATAGTCCTCATGTGAAGTTTGCTGTAGTGGGTGTTTATTAGTATTCCGGTATACGGTGGGCTCACCAACACAGAGCATGAGTCTGTGAAGGTGGACCGACCCTGAACATCTGCAGAGTCACACATTTATACTGTAAGTCAGAGGGTAGGGGGGGCCTGTATGTAAATACAGAGGGGAATAGAGGTAAATTAACATACAGTTGCTAATCAAATGGCAGGAGGTAAGGGAGGCAATGAACAACAGGGGGTGGAATCGGGTGCTTGTGACAGGAGGTAGGAAAACACATGACAAAAGGTGATGGGAAAACACATGGCAACAGGGAATGAATTCAGGGGTCTTTGACCATCACAATAAAAGAAAATGGCTTTCTTCTTCACTCTACATAAAGATGGCCTAGGCTATAAGAAGATCGCTGAGAAGATTGGTCGACCAAAGGAGTTGAGGGCACATGCGTCATATTCAGAGGTTGTCTTTGGAAAATAGATGTATGAGTGCTGCCAGCATTGTTGCAGAGGTTGAAGAGGTGGGGGATCAGTCGGTCTGTGCTCAGACCATACACCGCACACTGCATCAAATTGGTCTGCATGGCTGTCATTCCAGAAGGAAGCCTCTTTGAAAGATGATGCACAAGAAAGCCCGCAAACAGTTGAACAGTAACGACAAGCAGACTAAGGACATGGATTACTGGAACCATGTCTTGTGGTCTGATAAGATAAACTTATTTGGTTCAGATGGTGTCAAGCATGTGTGGCAGAAACCAGGCGAGGAAAACAAAGACAAGTGTCTTGCCCACAGTCAAACATGGTGGTGGGAGTGTCATGGTCTGGGGCTGCCTGAGTGCTGCTGGCACTGGGGAGCTACAATTCATTGAGGGAACCATGAATGCCAACATGTACTGTGACATCCTGAAGCAGAGCATGATCCCCTCCTTTCAGAAACTGGGCCACAGGGCGGTAGTCCAACATGACAACAATACCCAACACACCTCCAAGACAACCACTGCCTTGCTGAAGAAGTTGAGGGTGAACGTGATGGACTGGCCAAGCACGTCTCCAGACCTAAACCCTATTGAGCATCTGTGAGGAATCCTCAAATGGAAGGTGGAGGAGCACAAGGTTTCTAACATCCACCAGCTCTGTGATGCCGTCATGGAGGAGTGGAAGAGGATTCCAGTGGCAACCTGTGAAGCTCTGGTGAACTCCATGCCCAAGAGGGTTAAGGCAGCGCTGGAAAATAATGGTGGTCACACAAAGTATTGACACTTTGGGCCCAATTTGGACATTTTCACTTGTACTCACGCTTGTTACCAGCAGTTTAGACATTAATTGCTTGTGTATTGATTTATTTTGAGGGGACAGTAAATTTACACTAGTATACAAGTTGTACAATGACTACTTTACATGGTAGCAAAGTGTCATTTCTTCAGTGTTATCCTATGAAAGGATATAATAAAATATTTGCACTCACTTTTGTGACATACTGTATGTCATACACATGTTTTCTATGGAACAGTCATACCAGAGTTCAATGAGGACCCTCAGGAGACCTACCTGCATTAACCTGAGCCGGTTCCAGCTGAGACAGGCAGTTGCTTGAAGTTGAACTACCATGTTTTCACTTGGTGGATGGTTAGCACCGTTGCCTCACAGCTCGAAGATTCCCAGTTTGCGTCTTGTCTGTCTCTCTGTGTAGCCCTGTGATAGACGGGCGACCTGTCCAGGGTGGCCCCCGCCTTCGCCCAGAGTCAGCTGGCGCCACGACCCTCGTGAGGATTAAGTGGTGTATAGGTAATACATGGATGGATGTTTTCACCTGTCTCGAGACAGTAAAAGAGTATCTTACAGCTGAACATAAGGAACAGGGGTCATATTGTACCTTGATACCGTCACAACATCAGACCCTGCAAGAACAAGCACTTGTGATGTTACAAAATAACCTCAAACCAATCAAAACCCACCAATTCCAAGACAAACAACAGAAATTAAAAGAGGGGTTGGTGGGTCACAAGACTATAATAGTAGCAGATCTGCTGTTTTTGTGAGTGAGGTTAGAGCAGCGAGACTGATCTGGTCGTCCAAGATGACCAGTCAGGCAGCTTTGAATGTAAAGACTACAGTTTTCCATCAGCAATTCATTTTTGTTTATTAGTTAAATGTTACTGTTGATTTAATGGTAAGAATTAGATAATAGCTGTGATGATTTTTATTGTGATATAGCGGTGAGGACAGTGTTAGATATAGAGCCTTACTGATGCTGGATTTTGGGGATTGCTAATATAGATTTTTAGGGATAAAAAAAATCAGATATCAGTATGTTTGTAAAAACTTCTGTTTACACATCAGTGCATATTGAACAACATATACACCAATGCTGACTTGTCTGTGGCTAATATCAACCAATAATATCTGCCAACCAATATATGGGTCAGGCTCTAGTTTGACGGTTGTAACATATAGAAATGGTTGAATAACAAACCCCACAGTTCAGGGTCATTTTCAGTTTAAAGAAAACATACTAAAACTTAAAGAATACACTTGCTTGGTCTCAGAAGCATTCATTAAGCATTAATGCATCCTTTAAAAAAAAATAAAAAATGTCAGATAGCCTATAGGTGGGTCAAAACTGAACTGAACCACACTGTGAGGGCACAGAATGTGAACAGTATGTATGGGTTAATGTACCTATTAGACACTTTTGAAACTGGTACAGTTGTGGGAGGTTCTGATTGTTATCAGACTGTCAGATGATCTGCAAGAGGATAGCATCTGGCAGGTTTTAATTTATCTGAACATTTCTAAGTAAAGAAAGGTCCATCAGGTTTCTAAGAACTACTGTGCAGCTCCAAAAATGCTCTTTGCAACAGCCAATCATCAACGTGGTTTTAAAGTTTTCATAAGTGCATGGACTTCATTTTGGATTAACAAAACAGCTCTCTAAATAATCCATCAGTTACACCCAGGCTTCTATATAAAGAAAGAAAAAAAGTTAGCTCGAGGATTATGATGAAAATATAAATTAGCTGAGATATTTTGAAGCACAAAGCCATGCTGGTGTACTCTGCTGCTTTGTAGTAGATCAGGATGTGGTTGATCAGCAGAAACTTTTTCAGTTTTTCGAACAGGGCATTAGCACTCTTGTGTGTGCGTCAGCAGGGAGTAGGCATTGCGGGTCTGCTGAGTGTGGACATCAACGCACTTGAAGCTTGTTGAACGCTCCAAATCATTTCTACTGATTGTTCTTCAATCCTAAATTACCTGAAATCTATGATGAGCTGATAAAGTCTTTGTAGTGGGTCGTCTAATTTAACAAATCTTTCTTTTGTTTTGAGAAATTTGATTTAACAGTATGAAGGAGATGCAAACCCAGTCAGACGGTGATTTGAAACATGTGTGGGACAGTTTTCATCTGCAGCAGCCATTTGTATTGTGCCTACTTGTTATAATTTATGTAAAATCAGCTGCCTTATTTGGTGCCTACTTCCATATCACACAAAGCTTTCTTCCTGTTTTCAGCACAACAGGTCCCACCAGGCCAACCCCTCAGCACTGCTCAACCCTGATATACTGCTATGCCCAATGAAAACCATGTTTAGCACACAACACACACAACGTACATGCACGTGCTGTGTTAGTTTCGGTGCCATGGTGGTTTAGAATACATAACACCTCCACTGACCATGGATCTGCACTGCAGGTTGGAGATACTCCTTCTTAGCCTGTGGATACAAGTTGGCGTTGTGCCTGGAATACATTGCAAGAATGGAATTGTCAGTCATCTGTCAAAGGAAGGTAAGACTTCAGCAATATAAAAGACTCTATGATAAGAAATGCTGTAATCTGGTGATTGTTTAAATATGAAATGGTTATTTTTAACATTGCCATGAATTAAAGGTCATTTCGTGTAACCACTAAATCAAAGTTGCACAGTTAAAGATGAGTGAAGGGGTGACAATGTCAAGAGATCAAGAAAGGCTAGTGTCCCTAAAACAGCTGATGTCTGGACATATCATGTGAGGCCACTGTCCGCAGGAAGGCTGCAGAATAAACCCATTTCTAAAGCAGTTAATGGTTCCTCTTTTTAGCAGCATGTATCTTGTGATTGCCAGACTGTGCTCTTTGCTATTACCAAATACATGAATCAGATCCTAAAGGAATCACATATATGGGCTAAATGGGAAGTGCCTCACACAATGTCTGTGTGTAATCAAGTGTATGTGCTCAGGATAAAAACTGTGTGGTAGCAGTAAACGTGTGGCCGGGGGAGAGTTGAATACACTATAAAAAGGCCCGACAAAGAGACTTCAGACGGAGTTCGTGGAGAGTTCGTGGAGACTGCTCCTGGAGACTGCTCATGGTGGAGATCGCAGAGTTCTCCACGGGACATCGTTGGAGCTGAACACTCCTCCACCAACTGAAGAAGTCCTGATGGGTCTGCAAATTCTACTCAAGAGGAGCAGCAGAGCCCCTTTCTGTGTTCTGCATGAAGAAGTATTCTCTTCCTTCCCCAAATGGATGCAAAAGAACTACAGATCTGATCAGAGTCTGGACTTCTCATCTCCCCCTGAGACACGAGGGTTTCGTCCGGGGTTCAGGACTCTGTACTTGGTTGCTGCATCACTGGAAGAGGACTCCTCCAGGCTCAGGTCTGAGCAGGGCTGAGTTCACCAGCTGTGGCCGGGCTGTTCGAGTCTCCCTCTCCCCAAATTACTTATTAGGTTACTATTTTAGAAAAGCTCAGTTCTATAATTTTATCTCAAATTAACTGTTTTAATCATATTTTTTGGAATATTTTGAGTGAATAATCAAGAGCTGTAGCTGTGTCCCTGCTAAGGTTTTGTAATAAATATCTGATCATGCATTTAAAGTTTATTTGGTTTGGAATTTTCATTAAGTCATTTACAGTAACTGATGGTAGTGAAAAGTTAGTCAGTTGTGTGCATAATATCTTTATAGTGGTTCTTAATGGTTATTCTAGTATTTTCAAACATATCCCTGGGGTTAGTTTTGCCAAACCTCTAAAATCTAACCTAGCAACTTACCAAGTGCTCGATCCATTAAGAGGAAAGCTGCCACTAACAGGCGTGTCTAGTAGAGTGATTTGACTACTGAGGCTACTTAGTTGAGTCAACTATCGGAGGAAGCGGAGTAGACGTCTGGATTAAGGCAGTTAGAAGCTAGGCGAGTTTCCTCGACACCAGCTTAAGCAGTTCTATAGAATCCTATTAGGTCAAGGGCCTGTAGGGAGTTAGAACCTAACCCTAGAAACGGAGAGCTGGACCAGTAGCCCTGTACAGGGTTATATCAGCACGGATCAATAACAGTTTGTATTAAATTCAGTCCAATTATGAGAATTTTTAATTTTATTTCATATTGACTTTTAATAAAATACTGCAGACAACTTGCCTTTTGGGAAAAAACTAAACCATGCTTTGTCCCATTACATTCTGCATCATTCTGGGCAATAGTCTCACAAAGTGACATTTTTCTGCACAACAAAACAATTATCAAGACAATAAATCTCTGTCACATTATATCTTCCTGATATCCTGTTTCTTATTTCTTCATTACCAGTTATACCAACTTTCTTCATGTCTTCTCTTTGTCATACTTCAATTAGATGTTTTGCTGTTGAAGGATGAGCAGAATCCAAAGTGCTTCACTCGGACGTTACAGGATTTCACCTGCTTCTTTGAGACTGCACACAATGAGACTTATGATTTTCTCTACTCACTCAGTAGGTGTGTTGCACTCAGTACATATATTGTCTTTTGCATATTTAGGCCCTTCTCAGAGTCAAAAAGAACATATAAATAGTACCTTCTGTCAGAATATACTAAATCGTATTTTGTAGACATTTTTGATGCTTTTGGTATGCTAGTGTTGAATTATTGTTCTATTGTCTAACAACATCGTTTTAAATATCATTTTCTAACCTGCATTCAGTACATAAACAACAGGTCTAGTGGAACAGAATAAAGTCATGTCATTTATACAATTATTATTATTATTATTATTATTGTTGTTGTTCTTATTATTATTATGCAATTTATTTGTTTCAATGAATTGTTTTAAATTTCAGTTTTTATTATTTCAGTTTTAGCTTTTTTTTTTTTATTGACACTTCAATGTTTATATTCCAACAATGCTACACACATGGTTCATTGATTGATTTATATGTATCCCAATGTCTGTCGTGTTTGTATCTTGTACCAATCAGGGAGTCCACAGAAAGCTGTGAAATGTCGGTTCAGAGAACAGAAGAAGGAACCTTCCTCCACATCTGCTCGTTTCCTGGCTCACATGTCTGGCTGTTTGTGAACATACATCTTAAAGTGTTGGAACGTACCACCAACACCAGCCTCTACAGTCGTACTGTCAGCATAGAGGACCATAGTAAGACATTTGGGTTTTTTATTATTTACTTCCTCATCAAACAAAGGGATAGACATTGATTGCTGGAAAGAAGAAAACTAGACATTCTAAGCAGTCTTGACTACATTGACTTCCAGCTTTAATCTCTTTATGATCTTTGCCTTTTCCTGCTAGTCTCAGCTGTAAGTCCATCCCTGCTCCCCTCTGTGTTTGGGGCCTTGGCTGCCTCTGCTTCCTATGTTTCCCATGTTTATGAAAGGAGTGCTCATTTGAGATATTTTCATCCATCCATCCATTATCTATACACCGCTTAATCCTCACTAGGGTCATGGGGGGCTGGAGTCTATCCCAGCCGCCTTAGGGTGAAGGCAGGGGACACCCTGGACAGGTCATCAGTCTATCACAGGGCTACACTTAGAGACAAACAACCAAGCACACTCACATTCACACCTACAGACAATTTAAAATCACCAATTAACCTCAACATGTTTTTGGACTGTGTGGGAGGAAGCCGGAGAACCCAGAGAGAACCCACGCTGCACGGGGAGAACATGGAGACTCCACGCAGAAAGATCCTTAGAGGATCTTCTAGCTGCGAGGCAACGATGCTAACCACTGAGTCACCATGCAGCCTTTTTTTTTTTTTTTTTTAAGTCATTCCAGACCTTACCAAACAGCCACAACATTAAAACCACTGACAGGTGAAGTGACAAATAAATAACAAAAAACAGTGTTCTCCTGGTAAACCTTGGGTGTCAGCATTTATGTGGATATTTTTCGTTTTGACACATACCTTCCACCTGTTATCTAAACAGACCAAGCACTGAATAGATGCTGTATTTTATGTGTTATACTGAAAACAGACTAGTCCAGGGGTGGGCAATCCTGGTCCTCGAGGGCCACAATCCTGCATGTTTTAGATGTGTCCCTCTTCCAACACACACACCCACCTTCTGCAGAACTTGATGATGAGCTTATCATTTGAATCAGGTGTGATGGAAGAGGGAAACATCTAAAACATGCAGGATTGTGGCCCTCGAGGACCAGGATTGGACACCCCTGGACTAGACCATACAAGGACAGTCCATGTAGTTAATTTTTCCTTCCTTGCAATTTTTTCTTGCGTCCTTCTTTGAAGTACATAAAAGCTCAAGGAAAAAAGTAAGGAAGGAGGCATGTTAGCTAAAAGAAAAGCAGCCAAACCTAAGAACCAATGAATTATTCCCACCAGTGGATTCTGTAATCCTGTAATGTATACTTCCTTCTGTAATATGTTGCCCCCCCTTAACTTTATCTTCCCCTTATCTTCTGTAGTTCTTCTGGATCGCCCCTTCAATGTGACTTTACGTCCAAACGACCAAGTGGGACAGCTGCAGGTTTCGTGGCGCACAAAGTACTTAAGCAGCTGGAAAGAAAATCAAGCGTACAAGATTCGATACTCCTCTGGGCTTCTTGGAGAGATGACAAAAGAGGTAGACACAGTGCTTGCATAAATCTATAAGATTAAAAAACAACAACAACAACAACAACAACAAAACTACTTTGCCAACACATACTGTCAATAAGCATAAAACCTGTTATGTCCATGCAAGTTGTGCCATCATACTAACCATATCATGGAGCCCCGAAACAGAAAAATCTCAATTAAAACTATGAATATTTAAAATGGTTTCAGGTTTCTTTCATCATAATTACAGTGAGCGAGCTACACGAACTGTATCATAAAATCTGTTGCTCGTGATTCCACAGGTGAAAGTAGAAGACAACATACTGGATTCTCTGGTACCAGGCGAAGAGGTTGAGGTCCAGGTCGCTGTCAAATGTTCCTTACATTCAGATGGAGGACACTGGAGCAGCTGGTCTCACCCCATGCGAACTGTGGTTTCCCAAAGTACAGGTGAGCCCAGCAGACCAACTGAGTGAAAGTCAGTTAGTGAGAAAAAAAAAATGCACCTGATCCTTATACAACACTGTAGTGATCTCATGTGTTTCTCTATTTTCAGATGATATTTCACTCATATGCTCCACCTCTGACCTGCTAAAATTCACCTGTCAGTGGAATGGGAACAGATATGGTGTAGGATATGAGTACAAACTTTTCTACAAGATCGGTCTCAGGTAGCCCAAAGCACACACTGCATGTGATCACTGATTTGATATAAATTCCGTATAGTTCTGAAATCTTTAAATGTGTTTCTTATTTACCTAAAGATGCCTTTAATGCTTGTCTGAGGTAGAAAAGTTGTATCGATGGAAGCAAAATGCAGCAAAGTCAAATGCAGACAGGTACAGCTATATGCAGAAGGTTTGGGCAAATTACAAAGAAGTTAAAATAATCCCTTCAACAAGTTCACTCCAAGTAGTGAGATGAGTTCTACCCACAGATTTTTAATGGTGTTAAATTCAGGAGACTGTGAGTGTCATTCCTAAAGTTCTAGCTTGTGTTTCCCAAAGTCTTTCTTGGTACATTTTGAGGTGTACCTGAATCACTGTCAGTCCCACTTTCTGGACTGCATGACATTTGTATTCAGTGGAACAATGCACCACCACTGCTGGGTCAGAGACTTCTTCCTGCAGATCCTTTGCAGTTAAATGGGGTTATAGTTTTTATTTTTTTAAAGGTACAAACTTTTGCAGACAACTGTGCTGTACATGTGACAATAGCTTTAACTGAGGAGAGAAAATAAAGCTGCTGATGAAAGCCTCAGATCTGTGATAGGACGAGGACAGAAAAAAATAGATTTCATACTCACCAGCAAACACATAAAACTACTCTGAGCAACAAAGGCCCAATTTTGCAAACTGTTATGGCAACCATCTCCTCTCCCTTAATCATTTCTTTCATTCCACACTGCATTATTGCAAAAAAATGTTTTTTAAAAAGATGTGTTCATAACTTTGGGTTAACCAAATACACAGCTAAAGCTCTTGTTTTCTTTTTGATTGCTTAAATTCTTCTACCTCTGCAGTGAACCTTGGGGTTGGACAGAATGGACGAAGTGTCTGGCTATTGGGAACTTGAATGATCGGTGTTCTTTCCCTGGAAACGCGTCCAGTAGAGTCAGGGTCCATCTCAGCAGCACTTCAGCTCAAACCAGCAGAAACTTTTACACTCAAGAGTTCACGCTCAACAACTCTGGTGAGAGAATTTTTCTACTTTTTCCTCACTTCTTTTTGCAACCTTTGTCTGCTTTTAAAACTCAATAGAACAGTTGAATAGTTTTACCCTGGTGAGAGAACTTCTAAGCAGCCGATTACTAAGCAGTGGTCTCATAACTAAACCAAATACATGTGATGAAATGACTGCTGTTTCAGTCTGTATTGCTGATATTTCCGTCTACAACAAAATTCTCCAGTGAGTCGTGAAGGTGGCACATACCTTGGTTGACTCATCTTTTCTTAACACCTCTGGGCCAGTTTGTAAGGTTTGAAGTTAAAGGTGGATTCAGCTTTGAGTTGCACACTGTACTTGTGTAGTTTCAGTTACTGTAGTTGTTAACAGCCCAAATAGCCCGATGACAGAACTTCAACTTCAGTGATAAACCCTCAGAGAACGTTCCATGGCTTTGTCTTCTGACAAACTTCTTTGTTTACAGTGAAAACATCCCCACCAGATGGTCTGAGAGGAGTGCTGATGAAAGACAAGTTGTGCTTGGAATGGGAAGCTCCTCTTCCATCTCTGTCCCCTCACCTGCAGTATGAAGTCGACTACCGCGTCAAAGGAGCTGAAGGATGGAAGGTAAGATGTTATTCACGGTGGATGAACAACTCGATGCATTTTTCAATATGTTTTTTTTATATTACTGGTTTACTAGGATCGTGTTAGAATGTATTGTTTTCTCTTCATAGTGATTTGACTTGTTTCATATATTTGTGGAATTCTTACCCCTCGACTTTCAGATTTTTGTGTACTTAAGATACCATGAGTTGAACTTTATTTGAATACTTTTAGGTTTTATGATGATGGCATAAGTTTCTGATCCTTGACAAGTAATAACTGTGGGTGGTTTTATCACTGCAGGCACAGTGTCACTCCTGGTCGTACCACCAGGTGGTGCCAGAGCACAGGCTGCTCAGGGCTATGTGGCTACAGTTACAAGTAGATTATCAACAAGATTATTGAGCCATTATTAACATTTAACATTGTGATGTTGCATACTATAAAACCAACACAACATAGCAGTATTGAAAAATGGCAAACAGTAGCATCAAAACACAGTGTAAAGGGAACATGAGCATATTTTAAGAGAAAGTTATTGTGAAAGAATGTGAAAGATCAACACTAAGAATACTGTTCAACTTTCTGCACATCGAATCAACGTTTCTGTCCCAGATGATAAAGGACTTCGGGACTCATGCATGTATAGAGGTTCCAGCAGGCAGCCGGTACAGCGTTAAAGTCAGAGCTAAACCGACCGGGTCCATTTACTCAGGCTACTGGAGTGACTGGTCAGATGTGCTCACTGATGACATCCCCACTGACATAGGTGAGCGCCGATGAAGGCTAGAAAAAAAATTGTTTATTTACTAATCCCCTTGAGTTAAAAAAAAAAATAAAAATAAAAAAATCAGACCCAAAAAGTTGCAGCTTTTTCACAGACTCTTAGTCAGCTGTTTAACTTTTGTTTTTTTTAAACTTTGAATACAATAAATGTATAACCCACATTGCTGCTCATTTATGCATTCAAATGTAATGTTGTGTGTTACACTAATTAAATATAAATAAAAAAGCTATACCATTCAAATGTTAATGCTGTACAACTAACCTTTTCAGGCCTGTGGCTCATGGTGTGTATCCCCATCAGCATGCTGGTAATAGCAGTCGTCCTCATCTGCTTGTGCTGCGCGTACCGCAGGTAGAATGTTTGTCCAAATAATACAGATTGTAGTCATTCACAAGAAATTCAAAACTGAGACACAAATGTAAAGAATGGTTATGGGATGGTTTGGCACGATCACTCCAACATTTTTTTCCTCACTTTCCTGACATTACATTTCCTTAAAACCATTAAAAACATCACTAATTAGTGGCAAAAAAAGTCTTTCTCTGCCTTTATCAAATGATTTTTCATGTCTAATATTTTGTGTATTTTTTAGGAAGCTCAAGCAGTATTTTTGGCCACCAGTTCCAAACCTTCAAAAGGTTCTGCAAGGCTATCTGATGGAGATCAACAGGCAGAAATGGGTATTTAACCACAGATATTAGCATATTAATGCTATGATCAAAAGTACATTACATGCCATTATTCACCGAACTTACCGTGTTAACAGTGTCTGGAGTGCACTCAGTTCCAGTAGTTCTAAATGTGTTGGTTTTTAAAACAAATTACTGCTCACACTCCAGGATCCTCCAGCCATAGCTAAACAGTGCTCTGAAGAAACCACTTCATCCGTGGTGGAGATCATGTCTGAGGACGAGGTTTCAGAGTTGGGGAAGCCAACAGAAGAATCCACTGAGCTGCTGACACCGGAGCAGGTAGACAGCAGCCCCAGGACTGAAGGCTATCCAGACTATGTGACCCTGAATAAAGAAAACGGTGTTCTTTGCCCTCAGAGAAACAGTTACGTGTACGATCAGGTTAAAGTGAAAGGAGACCCCGAGGCAGGAGATGAGCTCCTCCAAACATGTCGCTGTTCCTGCACTGAGGGCTCAGTCTGTCTCCCATCTTGCTCATGCAGCGACTTTCTCAACCATTCCTACCTGCCTGTGGCTGAGCCTGCAGACACATTCAGCTATAAGGTCACTGCTGTCAGGGCTCCAGGCAACCTCTACACCAACTTCCCCTACAGCTGAATGCACAGTGTAGCAGGTGTGCTTCTAGAGGTGCAGATTTAATCAATACGATGCACCTTCATGCTGACCTAAGAACTCACTGTAAATAAATACAAGCTTGCCAAAAAGGAATAGTGATTTATAAACAATTAACAGACCTTTAAGCTTGAGCAAAGGAGTGTTACCGTGTACTCACTGTATAATAGTTGTATAGTTTCTAATCCTTGGTTACGCTCTGAAGTCTTTGGAAAATCAACAATTTTAAAATGTCAGGTTTAAATGCTGTTCAAGATATTTAGGCGTACTATAGTTATTGTTTTAATTGTACATTAGGTTTCCTTAACAACATTGCTGGCAATTTATCTACAGTGTTGTGTCTATTTGCATCTGTCTGGTGGAACAGCAGCTCACTGTGAGACTACGAGTGCGTTGTATAGTCCGACCAATAAAAAGAATCAGTGGATTTCTGTCCAACACTCGCCGACATGATCACAGGCGGGAGTGTTTTGGGATCAGAGTGTTTGTTCTGTAGCAGCCATACTTCTATATAATTTTGAGTTCTTTTCCAAATTTTGGGGAGGTTTACAGAACACCAATTGCAATATTAAATAGAGCCTTGCCGGTATGCAACACAGATGGTTCCTGTGAGCACTACACCTTTGAGTAGTCGGGATCAAAATGTATGAGGTGTTAGTTTGTACATTCTTTTTTTTTAAAACTTGTATTTAAATGTAACTTTCTCTCAAATTGTACTTCATTTAATTTTGTATATATTTTTTAAAAGTGAATTGCAGGTTTTGCCATTGTTGTCATATACTCTATTACATTATATCTTTAAGAATGTTTTATACTTTACAAGAATCTGAGATGAGACGGTTGACATGGATGTGAGGGAGGTGTAACCAAAACGCTTACTTCTGATTCTTTTACCTCCTTTTGAATGACATATGTAGCAAGTGTTTATGATGCATTACATTATCATATCAGAGTTTGTATTTTTGACAATAAACATCATAATGCTTCCGTTTTCTGCGACGTCATTGAACCACTTTGCTCGGTAGTTGTCCGAGTATAATAGATAATGTACTCAAGGACTTGTGTCTATTTATAAGTATATTTTTTTTTCATGAAAATAATCTCGTCATACCTGCTTTGAATACATTTGTTTCATCTAGAAAGCAACAATCTACAAAGTCCTCGCCTCTTTCTCGACCCACAGCAGCTCGAGCACACCAGCTCATCCATGACTTTGCTCAAACCCTGTAAAAAAAAACAACTATGTGACACAATTGCAAGGTGTTATATTGGAGTACTTCATCAATACATGTTGGAAATCAGTTCAGACGATCAATGATACAGAAAGCGGAGAAAGTGGACAGGATCGGTTCTTTAGGTTTGTTATGCCAGATATCTAAACCTGTCATCAGTCCACAGCAATTTTCATGGCGCTGAATGTTTATTTTACTCATGTCAAAAAAAAAAAAAAAAAGTATGTGGACATGTGAACAGGGTGAAAAACTGAATTTTTAAGGGAGGGGGGGTTTTTGCAGCTTTTCTTGCCTCCAAACAAACATCAGCTGTACTGAGTCTACACATCATTTGTTTTTGTCTGTTTTACACTGTTGCTGTCACAAGGTGGTAGCAGAGGTCAACAGGCAGAGGTGTGCTGCCACTTTGAGTCCTTCAAAGACAACACAAGTGACTCTACGTCACTGAAAATAAGAGAATATTTATATTCATTTCCAGACTCAGATTAATATTTAATCACACCTTCACGCGCTAAACCTTGTGATCTATACCAACCCTGTCCTTAAAGGTACCACGAGTAAATGTGCTGTCAGGAGCTGATAAACAAAAGATGAATTAAACATTAGTAAGAGTCATGAACTGACAGATAGAAGAGGAGCTATTTAAAAAACAAACAAAAAAAATCCACAACACAGATAAATGCTCGATGTTAATTTATTACACAAAGAAAGGCTCAGTTTAAGATGATTCAAATAATTGTTACTCGTATGAAAACCAAGAGACCTGAGATGGACAATCACAACATCATGAAATAACTGTTAGAGGAACATTCAGATTTTTAATGAATGCTATGGTGTCTCAGAGACGTATAACCAAAGAAAGGCTGATGGGTAACACTGTGAGAGGGGATGACAGTTTAACATAAAATGACATTACTTGTCCTACAACAGCTGACAGCAGTGCTAATTAGACAGCCTAAGACTGCAGTCACAGCGTGAGAATGAGAACTGGCTCTGCAACTACTGTATGTTATCATCCCGCGTTCGGCCAGCCGCCTTCTGTTAAATATACTGCTGTCACACTTTAAGGCCATCACATCCACAGCGTTCGCCAGACTGTATGATATCATGGCCATAAATTAGCCCAGAATCGTCCATGAGGCAATAGCAGAGGGTGGGAGAAGGCAAGTGCAGAGAGTGAGACCGTCAAGAGAAAGACAGAGAAACTTTTAAAGAGTCGCTGTTTACTGGCGTACAAGCCTCTCCTCCCAACATGAATTCTTTCCATGTTTCATCACTGCCCACTTGCCCATACTCAAACGGAGGGAGGTTGAATCACCTCCTGATGTCATATCCTCAACTTTCACTTACAATCACACTGAGAAACAACATGGTTTTTTAGCTGTGACGGGCTTTAACATGTACAGTATACAGAGTACAACAGTATACATGTCCACATACACTATGTTGTCATGTGTACAGGCCTCAAACATGGATTAAGCAACAACATATACATAAGGCCACTGAAACAGGTCAACGTCCTTCCGACTGCTACTGCAACACACATGGAAACACACCAAACGGGGGCTGTTTGCTCGTTCTGAAGTCACATTCGGTTCTATTGGATTTTGTGGAACAGACATCAGCTTCACAGCATGCTCTAAAGTCAGTACTGGAGTAAAAAAAACTGCCAGAGAAGGAAGAAAAAAAACCCAGTGTAATCAACAACACAGGCAGAACCAATGGTGTGAGGAAAAAATACAGTGCCTTCAGAGTCATTCAGCAGGAGTTAAGTCATTGATTTTCCAAAGAGGCATTGGATATTTAAAGTAAGAGAGGTGCTATGTTGGAGTAAATGGAAGCTTAGTTCATTTTAGGATAATGAAAACATACATTTGCCACATCAACGGGGTCGGCAAAGCGTGTCGAGTCTTTTTCTACATTTTTTTTTAATGAGGATCAGTCATTACCCTTCTAGTTTTTGGAAAGTTTGCATCCCCATAAAAATCTAACAAAGGAAGGAATTAGAAACGGCAGCAACCACCGATGGCCTCAAGTAACAGGTTACTGTTTGCTTCTCTAGCTGGTGGCAGGGATTGAGGAACAGCAACAACAACTAAAACATAAAAGCTCCACTACTGTGTGATAAATGGCAATGATTAGTAAGCAATAGTCAGAAAAGTAAGAGGGCCTCAGGTCTCAGTGGCAGAACTTTCAATATTAATCACAAAACCATAACAAATCACACAAAGAGAATCATCACCGCGATCATACCAAGAGCTCACATCTCCGGAAAGCTTTTCAAGAACTGTATCTTAGAAGCTTTAAATCAAAGTAGCCATTTTCTTCAGTAGATACACAGTGGTGTGTAGGTGGGTTTTGTTTTAGCACCAACTGCAAAGAAACAGCAGTAATTTAACATAGAAGTGGAAAGAAAAAATGTTAAAGAGCAGCACTGACATTCAGATTCTATATAACAGCAGGATTTGTTTGCTTTATTTTTGCTCCAAAATACAGTTCTTGAAAAAATGAGTCACAAACGTCTCAACTGCAAACACAGAAAAATTAAATCACAGTTAAAATGCTGCATGTAAACAGTATAAACCAACCGCATACTTGTTTATATTCACTGTAGATGTCTGTATTAGTCACGTAATTTAAAAAACTGAAGCGCAAGGTTGGTAAAACTACTTTACAACGGCAAGAGAAATCTAATTTATCAGCCAGATCCACCTGGTTCCGTTCTGTGTGGTTCTCTTTAAATCACTGGAGAGCAATGAAGGATTGGTCTATGCACGAGCGGTAGGCGTTCTGCAGGTTCAAGGTGGTGGGGGTTCAACATGGCACATGGTCTACTCATTTTCAGATCTTCAATCATCTGATAAATCTGTAATTAATCAGAGCAATTTGCAGACGAGCGAAGAAGCAGGGAAATAACAAGAGATTAGATCAAACCTGCAGGCCTGCTCTTTTGTGTTTCTCTTTTTGCAGAATGTATCAAAAATTAAGAACAAAATTAGACTTATTTTAATGCAATATCCTAATTCTTACAGAGACACAGATAATCTGAAACTATTGTCCTCTATTTCAGTGGAACTATTTACACACTTTAAGACCTTTCAATGATTGTGTTTTAGTGAAAAGTGAGACCGTATGACTCCTTTCATGTGATATATTATCTGTACCTCAGCATCATTACGCTAGAATTTTCTCCCTCTAAGAATCAGGACTGTTTTGTTAAACCTTAGGATCTGTGGTGATCAGATTCAGGCTCTGCTTGGTTACCATGCACCGACAGAGCCCTAATGAGCGCGCTCAGATGTTGGCCTTCTTGTTGATGAGCACAGAGCAGCATGTGAGGGCTCCGTCCACTTTGACCTTCTCCTGGTTGCACACGGGAATCAGCATGTGGTCCTTCAACTTCTCAAACACCTGCAGGACACACAGACAAGGGCATTATTGGAAAAACAGACTTTTTTAGATTATTCTGCTTTAAACTTGTTGGTAATTCTGCAATTATCAGTTGAAAATTAACAGTTTTTCACTGAAATATCACCAAAAAAGAAGGTTCAGGGCCTGTCAGTCTGTCGCTTAAAGAAAGGCTCAAATACAAAATTGATATTGTCATGGCAGCAGCTGTCCCTGGTACAAGACCTGTGAGCTGCTTTTACTGGTATTCAAGAGCACTGCCACAGGCTCTTTAGAAAAGGTTGAAGTACAACTGAATAGGAAGTAGTTAAATTGAAGGGAGAACTTATGCAACACTTAAGTTTGTTTACTCCACTTGTCAGCTTGTAATTTTCAGTGATAGAAAAGCCCTGCAGAGAGACAAAAAAAAAAAAAAAAAAGTGAAGCAGGAGAACAAGCATTCAAGCTTTCCTGGTCTCCCGGCAAAACGTAAAAAAAAGAGATGGGAGTGAGAACTATTACGACATTCTCAAAAGACCCTTGTAAAGTAGTGTGTCACCCTGTGGACATTTTCCAGAAGAAAACCAGCGTTTTCCGACCACACTTCCAAACCAGGATATTTTTCTCTTTAAACTCTTACTTCAACCCTGCTGTGATACGGAGCGAGGCCTTGTGGCACAGCCAGAGGGACCAGCTAAACAAATTTTTATCTCGTGATGCAATATGGCTGACAAAGCCTCTGGTGATCCAGATGCCATGCCTGACGTCCAAACACTCAAGTGCCTCATAACTCTTGACTTTTTTTTTTTTCTACTCAAGGCATTTTGTGTAATGTGGGCAGAGTGCTCTTTAAATCATTTCAACAATGCCACTCATCATGCTCTCCTCTAACACTATTCTACCACTTAAAAATATGGTGTTCATGCAGATTTCAATATAATTTTTCACATTAGGGCTTTTGTGAGACTGGTAATATCATCACACTGAAGGAACCTGCATATGTTGGTGCTCCTATCAAGATGGGTCCCCATCTGCTGTCCGTTAAAAACAAGATGTTAGTGGTGCTGAGAGCCAAATCTTACAATCAACATGCTTAGCAGGTCATGCTTACCATGTTCATCATCTTAGATCAGACTATTAGAATGGTAATATATGCTGAACACAAACACAAAGCAAAATCCAGAGAACACTGGTGCAACAGTCTTGTTTTGCAGTTTCAAACTGAAATGTTGGAACAATGCTTTTTTTTTTTCTTTTAAGCTGACGATGGTGGGGCTGCAAGGTGGCTCGGTGGTTAGCACCATCACCTCGCAGCTAGAAGATCCCTGGTTTGCATCCCGGTTAGGACACCCGGGCTCTTTCTGCGTGGAGTTTGCATGTTCTTCCCATGCAGCCCTGCCTTTCCCCCCAATCCATGATCCTAGTGAGGATTAAGCAGTGTATAGATAATGGCTGGATGGATGATGATGGTGGATGAGTTAAGGCAGGGGTGTCAATCTCAAAAACACAGTGGGCCAAAATTTAAAACCTGAACAAAGTCACAGGCCAACATTGAGCAAATGAACCTTTTAATATGGACCGAAACAAATTTTGCTTTAACATTGAATATGGAACAAGCAACGCTTATTACCATACATTATATATAACTTAGTAGTGGAGACATGCAAAATCAAATTATAAATTAAAAAACACATCAGTGGCACAGTGACAGTTGTAGTGTGAAGTCGCTATGCCTACTGTCACAGAGGAGAGGGAGTTTCTGGGTTCTGTCCTGATTGATGCGCCAAAACAACAACAGGGCATTATGGGATTTGTAGTATTATCGGTGAATGCGCTGTACAGTATAATACCGGGGGCAGCTCTAGTAGTCATTTGGTATTGTCTCGCGGGCCAAATATAATTACAAAGCGGGCCAGAGTTTGACACCCCTGAGTTAAGGGATCATCAAATGCTCCGTGTAACACATTGCAGTATTAAAAACATAAAAAATGTTTTTTAAACTTTTATTAGCATTTTTACCCCAACTATAACTCAAATTGAATTTTTAATTGCTCAGGTTTGGTTGTTCCATCAGAATGTAACTTTGTTCTTTCTGTGTTTTTCGTGGTTGGAGCCATGGATCCTGTAGCACAGTCAAACTATGTATTATACAGCACATCTGAACATGCAATAATTCATTGCTGAATTTATTTGGGGAGTGTTTGGAGACGTGAACATTATTCATAGATTGGAGCAATAGGCCAACGTATTATTGTTGTTGTTGTTGACAGCTGACATTAAGCATAGAGTAGTGGTCTTCAAATACCTTTCTGAACATGCCTGTCCCTCTACATCCTCCGCTCTAAATCTGGAATGATGCAAATCCTCAACTACAGCCTATAAGCTGATAAAATATTAAATTAATGGCTATGAAAGTGAAGGTAACAATATTATAAGTTACAGGCAGTGTATTTTCTATAGTATTTTATAAATAACCCTAACATGTCGCGTAGCTGATAAATGACTCCATGGTCAGATAATACATGTAAATGTGCAACTCCACCTGAAGCTAAGTGTGTAGTCTAATCAAAGCATTAAACACAGAACTAAAAAACTATGACAACGTGTTTTTTTAAAAAAAAATTTTTTATCCAAATATAAATTCTGAAGCAACAACCCAAATGTGAATGATTAAAAATGAAACTGAGAGACATCAATTAGTGAAATAATTCAAAAAAATTAATGATGAAAATTTAAAAAAAAGCTCCTTTTATTCACTTTGATGGACTGTAAAGTGTCACACAGACAAAACTTGTTTATAGTTCATACACGCATGTATGAAATATCACGGTAATCAATCCAACAGTTGTACAGACCTGTCACTCAGTCCACAGAGGCTAACATCACGGTAGCACTCGATGAAAAGTCAGATTCCAACAGTCATTACAATGCATTCTCCTATCTGTGGACAATGAATGAGTGCATCAAATTTCATGGAAATCTATCCAAGTTTGGGTGTCACCAAAGTAAGAGGGAACAATCGTCTCATAAACATCAACACTAATTTATACAATTCAGTCTGGACCATCCAAAGAACACCCCAGAAATCTTTATCTTAGACCACACAAAGCAGGTTACTCAGGGATCATCCTCTGCCATTCATAGCACCTCTGCATCAAAAGTCTCTGTTTTTGATCATTTCCAGCTGAGTTCTCATTACTGCAGGAGAGATTTATACGCTGGGTCAGGGTGGCATGGTCCCACACAGTAGGAGCTGCTATGTTTCACTGGACCTTTTGTCTTTTCAGCTTCTTTATCTCCAAACAGAGCCCTCTGCAGCCATCGCCACCGCAGGCCATTAAAGGTGCCCCATCTCCGCCCCCTCCGACCCCACCAATCCTCTCTCATGACCCCCTGCCTTCGTTAATACGGAACTCTTATGTAACTTCACGAGCAATCTAAAAATAGGCCGGAGATTAGGACAGACAGTGTTTAGAGTTGGAAATCAGCAGACGTCTTGCAGGGTGTCTCAGCGATTGTGCTGACAAATCTCCACATCTCATTGGAGGAACAAGCAACAAGTTCCCTTGGGAAACATTCTCCAGCTCTAGACCGACTGTGCTAGACATGATAGTTAACTGTGATAACTGCCCCTGCTATTTTACTGTGTGTGTTATGTCTTGTGCTATTAATATTTTTTCCACTTTTCCTTAAGCTACAATTTCTTTGGGGCCAAAAGTGGGTTTCGGGCCAAGTTCTGGTGGGTTTGAACCTCATAAAGGAAGCAGGTTTATGGAAGAAACATACATTTCTTGAATACTGCTCCGAAAGTTCTGTTAAAAGGTGCTATCAAAGCAGGAAGCGAGACATACACAAATAGATTTTATTATCCTCAAGTGAATTCCCTCAGTTAATCTTCCTGGAAAAAACTGAGACTGCGTCGTGGATGTAAGTCCAAAGACGCATAATTTTGTGAATTCTTCCTTCTAAAAATAGCTGGCGGAGGTTGGGGTTTTAACCACAGAGTACATTTTGAGGTCTGAGCACTGTCTCTGCAGATTGTAGGCTGCCAGGTTCAATCCTGTGAGAATCCTTTTGACTTGTTGTGATGTGGAGTGACCCCAAAGCATCTAAATAACACAGCTACTGCTCAGTCTGTCCAAACCCCAACAGAAAGAGTGAAACAATAACACGTCATTCATGTCAAGCTGCTGCAGCAAACATGTGGGTGAAAGGCCCATCTTGCTGGTGTATGTAAGTAGGTCACTGAATGTTTGAGACATACCTGACAAATCTGCTATTAGCTTAGAGGCCTGTTCAACAAAGTAGGATTTGGGTTTGCGAGGCACCATCAGGTTTAGCTTTTTAGTACCACAGTGGCGGTTCACTTCTTGCTGGGGGAACATCTCTCTTACAACTTCTGCTGAAAACACCTAAACTGCTCCGAAGCAGGTTGTGTTTAAGATAACAATTCAACACATACTACATCACCACCTACTGACCAATCAATTCTCTTGGAAAACAGCATTACCATTAGCAGAAGATCCCGCGGAGCTCAGGGAGCAGATACTATGAGAGGAAGAGCCGTTTTTTCCGAGCTGAAAGCCATTTCAAAGCTAAACTTCATTGATCTAGAAGCCTCTGTTTTGTGATATAATCCTAAAACAGACGCTGATTAAAACACTGCACTGCCTTGCACTACAAGTGAGTCACCTTATTTGTTTGAATGATGTTTTCATATTTGTTCCTGTTCCCAAACTGATTAACATCATCGAGGTTGGGCAGGAAAATTGAAACTAAAAATGTCTAACGTGTGAGGAGCAAGAAGGGAACATCTGTAGTTTCATCACACGGTCTAGTGATGCATGATGATAATTACACTGAATCTTGAATAAGAAAACCTACATCTCAGCAGCTTACACATAAAGGGACAGCGATATTGATAAGCATATGTACTATACATTCACACAGTCTGCAGCTGTTGCCAGCTTTCCTTCCTGACTTTGTTGCTTTTAGCCTGTATTATATTTATAATCTCAAATATTGGCTTAGGATTCTAGTTTGTTCTTCTTAAGAAAAATATGCCGTTTTAGAGCTGTCAACACTTGCGACTGGTTATCTGTTGCCAACACCAGCCCTTTCATGTGAACGCGGTCATTGCTAGATTCAGAAACTGGGTTGACTTACCGGGTTTATAAGCAGCTTCATGACCGTGACCGCTTAGCGTGACTGTGGTTGTTAGGTTTAGTTAAGCCAGATAACAAAAACATATCCCGGGTATGTTGAACTTGCTTTGTAGCACAAGCCTCTGATGTCTCTTGAGGTCAATGTCTGGTTGTAAAGTTGCCAAGCCCACTGCTATGTCAACAAGCTGGCTGGTAACTTTTTGCTTGCATGCTGTTTGGTGCACACCAGATTTGTTGGTGAGACTGAACCAAAACACTAAAACTGAATGATGTAAAAGCAAAACGTCGCTAAAAGAAGCTAAAAGACTTTTATATTCAGACAACCTGCAATGTGGGGATAATTCTCTGCAGGTTCATGACTATAAGCCTCCCGTTTCATATACAAGTATATCAAGTGTTTTTAGAAAACTATTAGTCATGGCAGCTTTAGGAGCTGTTTTCAACAGCTTTGCTGATTAACTCAAGTTCTGAGGAAAAAAAAAAAAGCACCTAAGATGTTTTTTCTCACGACTTCAGTGTCTCTGGCTCTGAGTCTGTGGTTGGAGTCATGTCCACAAAAGGTCACTTCACATCAAACTGCAGGTTCCTTTGTTAAAAAACACAACCCTGGCTGCGGTCAGCCTGCAGCGGTCTGTGTAAAACAACCACAAAGCTTACGTAGGGGCTCTTTCTCCAGCCAGTTGTTTTTCTCAGAGGTCAGGACAGGATGAAGAGCAACAAAGGCAAGGGCTCTTTAAATTTAAGCCACTGAACCACTCTGGTTGCCCCGACGGTGGTCGTTCCTCCCAAAGGTCTGACCGCAGGACTGTGGATGAATGTGTGACTGTGACTGCGGGTGAGACAAGGTAACCGAGTGTGGATGAGAAATGAGCTGAGCGTCACCTTTGCACTCTCTGGAAACTGCTCCGCTGTGCAGTGCAGAAGCACATGTCCCTTGTTGGGCAGGTTCATGTAGACACAGTTGGCAGCGAGGTCATCGGGCACCGTCAGCTTGTCGTAGCGATGGTCGCTCATTTGCTGCATGATCTAAACAATCGGAGCAAAGAGACAGACAGGATTTAGACACTGAGGTAAATAAACAAACTGTGGGAATCCACATGCTGTTCACAAAGACAGACACTAAACAGTTATTCAGACTATCAGACATTTTGAGTCAGAGGGCCACAATACCGAACGCAGCACCGCAATCCTTCTCTGGCCAAACCACTCTGGGCGCCTGGGGGGGCTTAATGGAGAACACAGGAGCAGACAGACATTCTTTCTCAGCAGATGTCATGTTATTTATGTAATCTGAAGGAGCTGAAGGTGGGACGGGAGGAGGGGGGAGAGAGGCTGCGAAGACGCCCGTGTTGCCAAGTGGATGTCGGAGGGGGGGTGAGGATGTTATGACCAGAAAGAGAGGCAGGTGCCTCTTAATGTTTATGAGCAGAACATCTGCGGACGGATACCTCAGAGACGAGGAGCGGAGGGAGGGTGGAAAGCTAGTTAAAAAAAAAAAAAAAAAAAAATCCAAAGTGTCAACATTCAGAAAAGGTATTTTGAGAAGTGAGATTTTCCCCAGATGTAGACTCCATGATTGTCAGTCTGCTATTTGCTATCTTTAAATTCTCTGTTTTCTGTGCTTTTCACTGCTCATTGTCTTCATCTTTAATGATGAAGAGAATGAGTCGGTTGTCTGCTTGTGATTAGCAGTCAAAACGTCACCACTAAAAGTTAAAAGTAGGAAAAAAAGAAACCCAAGTTCCTTCAGTTAAATGCCCTCCTACACGGCATCCAAAAAGTGTGACGCTTGCTTGACGCGCATATAGGTTCGGAGGAGTGGCTGTGAGCGAATATGATGACACACGACTGCAAATGTGGGAGGAAAACGGGTGGTTTGTGAGCACAATGGGCTTTGTGGCTGAAAATGTTTTCATTTCACTTCCCACTGACGGGGTTCACTGCAATAGGGAAGACCAGGGCGTTCACAGAGAAGGGAAAGGTCAGTTCCAGCGAGGCTTATATACAAACATGCATTACATTGCATTATGTTACTGGCATTGTACGCTGAACATACGCAAACCCCGCAGAAAAAAACAACGAGTTCAATGTAGTCACCTATTATCAAATGATTCAACGGATAAAACATGGACTGTTCTGAGTACTTGGTTCATGCTTTCCTGAGAAACACTACTCAGTACACAAGAAATGACGAATCTCATTTATCGAACAGCACCGTCAGCGTTTAGTTGGAACAAATGGAAGAACAATTGTGTGGTTAGCATGAGGAGTAAATCCAACATTAAACAGAATTCTTTAAGAAAACATTGTGACAGGCCTGGACTGGTTGATAAGTGGATGAGGGATCTCTGGGAAGTGCAGTGCAAGACAAACACAGTAATGAACTTTTAGCACCAGCGGTGTTAAAAACAAACAGTTGGAAGGTTATGCATTTTAAAAGCACATTAAACTTAAAGCAGCTAATATTTTCACACATCTAACATCCAGAAGTCATTTTTTAATTTACAAATGATAAATGAAAAGGCCCTGTAGATGACTGACATCACTAAAATCTAAAACTTTACAGGAGCTGGAAATGCTGTTTCAGAGTGCAGGGCTTCAGGCTGGAGTACAGTGTGTGTGTGTGTATGTCTGCGTGTGTGTAACCAGACACATTCCCAGGTCACTTGTGGGCGTGTTACGTGATTGCAGCGGCCCTAAATGAAAACACTCCGGTCCATGTGCGTGACCGCCAACACTGTCTCTCACACACAGGGGGATTAAGAGTGGTAGAGGGGAGAATGAACGTTGACTCCACCAAAGATCACAGTTGTTCCCACTTCACTCTTCGTTTTCTCAGGAAAAATAAAGAGGGAGAACTTTTTCGGGGTGCAAGGAAAATGGCCTCCAGCAAGATTTCCTCATGCTTCATGTGAAGTTCTGATCCCTTAAATTCAATTAAGTCCTGAGAAAGTTCACCTAACGAGAGGAACAGTTGGTTTTCTGTTCATTGTCAAAAGGTGAACCCGGTCAATACAAGGCCAGACCTATTTGTATTTTCTAGCTTGAAGATCTCTTAATTCATTGAGATACTAAGACCTAAATGAATAAAATATCAATGAAAAGTAGCTTTCAAAGTAGCTCTGTTTTTGCTAACATCTGTTCAAAAATTCCTCAGATTTGTGCATCACTTTCAAGCATAGCCGGGGCTTCTCCATAGTCATCCTGGCTCCCGACCAAGAATAAATCTACAGCAAATCAACAGCGACTTACTCCTGGACAATGGCCGAGGTCCAGTTAATACAGAGAGTGGTAACTGGGCAGCAAAATGTGCTCCGTCAGAGCTGCTAAAACTAAATATTTACTGGAAGGTAATAAAATCCTCCCTGGGCAATGACAATCTTGACCAGTTAACAAAAACACTGACAGTTTACTGGACCTGAAGCCTTTCACCGTGGTAATCAGTATAATCTGTGTTTTGGCTCCAGGTATGAATATTTATAATGCTCACATTAGCAATCCTTCCCAGGAAGCCTTTAAAACTTTTACAATACTTCTTTTCACTACAACAGCAGGATGTACAAGACAAATTCTACCACAGGCTGCTTCCAACCCAAGAGAGGAAATGAGACTGAAATTGCTTCTTGTTGATGTACAGAAAATGTTTGTTTTTGTTTCTTGACAGACATTTTACTCTGGAAATAATGCTGGTCTGCATGGAGTGTTTATTGCTGCACCCAAAGGTGTCCAGTGGACGATGGCGTGAGCTTGGGGGTGGAAAGGAAAGGGGAGAATGTATCACATCTCTGCTAATATTGAGAAAATAAGTATTCAGAATAGTGCCCTGAAACAATTCACACTTCTTATGTTTTTTCTCACTATCTTACACATTAAGGCTGCTGCTATCAGCTGCTGCTGTCGGACTTTGCAGCTGGTTCAGGGACACAACAGTAACCTAGAAAATACTGAAGAATTTTCTCAGCAGTACTCGCAGTGAAGCTCCAGATGGTAATATTGGTCGGTCGATTTTGTCTAGACTAAAATATCTCAAAAATGATCCGATGTTCAGACATTTGTGGTTTCCTGGTGAAGGAGTCTTCTGATTCTGGTGGTCTCCTGACTTCTTTTATTTTGTTAATTACTAACTTGATCTCGTTGGCATGAACGACGCTGCCCTGTGATACAGAGCAGAGCCTCTTTCTTACAGCTTGATGGCTGCTTTCCACTGCAAATGTAATGACATTCACGTCAGGCTTGGCTGTACTTCATGCCTAGTGCTAATTACGAAATCTAAGGCTAAACCAAGAACACGGCAAACCTGCTCAACATCAACATGTTAACACTGGCATTATGAATATATTAGTCGGACAATTGTAAACTATTCAAATTATTAAAGTGCCTCTCTGGTCATCAAATAAATACATATATTTAGTTATTGCCTCTGAAAATGAACCTCTACAATGCCACCTCCTTTACAATGTGCAGATCTCTTCATCCATCCCTCTTCAATCACGGCTACCAGCTCACCTACAACTCTGCCTAAACACCATAAAACTGCTCTGCGCGACACAACATTAAGCTGTAATTCGGACGTACATGTTTGAACTGGGAACAGATTCTGAAGAAGAATAAAGATGCAGAAAGCCCCACTTTGGAAGCTGACGGGATTGGTTCTTTTGGTTTGTTACATATAATTCCCGAAAGTCTGAATCTGTGTTTCTGAGGTGGTCATCGGTAGACTGCAGCTTCATTTGGAAATACACAGTCGTAGTGTTGACTGCTTATCTCCATCATGAGGTGTTTCTCAGCATATACGAAAAATCAAACATGGACATGTTAACAAGGTAAAACTGGAGCAGCTTTTTAAATAAACAGTGGATGTGGTGAAAAGACAAAATGTAAATTAAGAAATTTTTTCTTAATTTGCAAGTTTACTTGTCATAGCATTTCAGTCATAATCTGATTGACTAACATCCCACATATCAGTCTGTGTTTGTATAAAATGTGAATGACTTTTGATTACATTTTTGAGTATATTGTGGCGATCAAAATTTTGTATGCACTGTGATGAATACATTTGGAGTATAAATTGTGGTTCTGGGAAGATGAGACTCAATGAATGATAGTTTTAAATGCGCCTTTTCTAGTTTTTTTTTTTTTTTTCTGGAACTCTACAAGAGTAGCTTTTTAAATCTTTATTTATTTTATTCATCCAGGCTTTCTATTCCCTCTCTAAAAACTTTCTTCTGATAGGCAGGTTACAAGGAAGCCTTTGCCTGTGAGCACCACTTCACTCTCTTACTGGAACAGAAGCTCCCAAAGCCAACTATAAACCTATTAAGTTACATCATTTCTCCTTCCTAGTCAAAAGCGGCTCTCCTAAAATCCATACCCTACATGTTCAAGCTCAAACGTGGTCCAGAATGTGACAGTAGATCGTATAAACATCTGCAGCAACAAAGACTACAGCAGGACTTGTGGACATGTTGTGTCTGGAGCAGATGACAGTATAAAGAAATATATGATGGGATGACTTCAGGTTGCCACAAAAGTAGAAAGAAACGCCTGGAGCCTGAGCTTTCTTTCCACAGAGATGACTTTTTCAGATGTTGCTCTCGTTATTTAAAACTCTGGTCACGTTTAATATGAACATCTGACATTATGTATGTGACAGAAAACAAGGAAAAGCATATTAGGCTCCTTTTCGCATTACAGGCAAAGAAATCTATTGCTGAAAAGCCACCTGTTCTATTTGACAACCAAATAAAACTGGTCCAAAACATCAAATGTCATCATAAATGGAGAATATGTTCATGTTGTTGTCTCTCTCTGGTGTATGTGGACATCAGGGATTTGGGATCAGGATGTGGTCATCTAAGATAAATCCCCCTGAATACGACCTTCACTGTGTTGTCACCTCATTATCTATAAAACTGAAGGGTACAAGCATCCTTGAGGCGAAGCTCAAACCCTGACCAGCAATGAGTAATGACCTCATGAATCAAACCAGGCTAAGTAAAGGGATGACTGGTGATCTGAAGCCTGCCGGGCAGTCGGCTACAGGGAGGGAATAGTGTGTGAGAGTACAGGGAGTGGGTGCTGCAGCCTTTGACAGAGGCTGTATTTCGGGATGATGACTTCATGAGTGAAGCTTGGCAGTGACAACAGCAGATGGATGACGAAATCCATCCGGTCAACGTGCATTCTTATCCCTGGGAGAGCCAAACACAGACACATGTACAGTATATATTTTGAGCGCTGAGCCTTCCTGAGCAGAGACAAAGCCAAGAAGCAAAAAAAAAAAAAAAAAGTCCCGTAAATCTGATATCAGCGAGCTTTACTTCACACCTTCTACACTCTTTTTTAAATTAAAATGAACCATAAGTTATTTAAACCCTTTAATAAAATCAGGTCATGTCTCCCTCTCGTGCCAGTAAATATCCTATAGCAGCAAAAAATGTAGCTCCCCAAAGACAAAATGAATTAGCGTGGCTCCAACTTTAATTTGTACAAAGTGCCTTTGTTCCAAGGGTGCACAGACAAGAAGCCTCATTGCCATAGGAGCTGCATCTACATCCAAAACAAGCAGTTTGAATTCATTAAAACTGCATTCATAAGATCTCACTCCCCCCACAAAGAGAACATTACCTAATTACAAATCTGGGGTTGTTAAAAGTCCTTTAAAACAGGAGCTAATTGCTGCAAGAGAAGGTGACGTAAGCCGTAATTAGAAAGCGGAGCAGCCTGTCATTAAGTCTCGCTAACGGCCACTCCTCGTTCCAGTAGCTAATTACTGGGGTGATCAAACAGGCAGGAATCTTAATGAGTCGATGCTGGAGTATAAAATTAATTAGCTTATGTGCTTCTGCATAGATTCTTGGCTTCTTGTGTACACTTCAGCAATGTAAACATGCTTACAAAACCAACAAGTCTGACCTTTAGCTATTCTCAAGGACTTTAGCCTCATTAGAGCGTGCTGTCTGATGGTCTAGTTTTAATTGCCCCTGAGACATAAGATGTGACTTTTACTTGACTTAAAATAACCCTGTTTAGCACTGGGCCAGTAGGGGGAGATCTCACACTGGGAGGCAAATGAGGAGAGCTGCCAGAGAGGAGCTGCCAGGGCCAAGGGTGTATGTGTTCATGGTGTAAGTCTTCATACTTATGTAATTACATATTAATTGTGCTGTGCAAATACATTTTCTAATTGCATTTCAGTCATGCGTGCCATTAAAAAGTTCATATCCAGTGTCACATGTTGATGTCTGGGAATTGTCGGGCTAATTCCATCATGGGGATGGGCTGAGATTTTTATTACTCTCTTGGTGTAAATGACCGTTCTGTCTCTGTCAGGGTGTAAACTGTCCCCTCTTTATGTTGAGCCTTGGCATCCCCTGGGTTTCCTTTGTTACGACGGAGCCTGATCGATGCAGAAGCCGTTTATGCAGTAATGAGCTCAAGCTGTTTAATGGAAGGACAATACCTTCGTAATTGAAGCTGGAGTGTGAGCGCCAGGGGCAATCCCCTCAGATTAGCTGAGAATATGAATTAATGAGGAAGGATTAAGGTGACAGGTGGTTTCAATGTGCCTGCAGTGGGAAACCGCCATCGAGCTGTAAGTAAGGGAGTCTGCTCTGAATCAACACGTGCGATGTCCTGTCTTGTAGTGTTATTCTTGCTGAATACTTTGCAGAGCAGCCGGGGAAAAAAAAGACGGGGTTGTTCGTACTAACAGGATCAAGCCAACAGTCAAAATGAATCCGCTGCGTCAATGTGCGTCATAGTAATGAAAACAACGCCAATACATTGATTCGGTGGTTTCCATGGCTACAAAGCATAGCCAGGGTGTACATACGGCACATGCAAACACAAGCTCCATACTTTGAGGGCCTTCTGCGCTGGTTCACTGGAACCGATGACAATGAGGCCGGGTCCTCCCATGCTGCAGAAGGTCTTCAGGTGCAGCCCTTCCAGCACTGGCACAGTAGAGACGGCGTAGTCCTGTAAAACACAATCACATCGCACAGACTCAGTGTGATAAGCTTTACGAAGACAAGGTAATGAAACGATTCCACTCATTGTCACCTCTCTCTGGGGTCACACTGTTGAGCGGTGACGTGAATCACTTTGAGCTTGTGGTTTCAACATTCAAGAGTCTGGCTCTTCAGCTGCTGACACACTGTTCCCTCGCAATTGTAATTCTACTAAAGCAGCTCTCTGGTGAGAACATAATGCTTCCCCCTTTATCCAAATGTGAAATAACTTGGTGCAAATCTTCTTTTGTCAGTGACAATACTTCACAATCCCTCCAAGCTCCAAACATGTTCTACAGCTTTATTCAGTGATATACTGTTCTCTAAAAAAAAAAAAAAAAGATTCAAGGAGCACTGCGGTGATCTGTGTCGTATCATTAGAGAGAGTATAAAGTGGCATTTAAATAAAGTAGTGGACAGCTCAGGGGCGCAAACAGCAGGAGTGTCTGATAGATGATGTCACTGAGCTCAGGGGCTCATGGGGAGATTACAGAGCAACTTGTAAGAGGCTGACTGGAGACGCTTTCTCTGGCTGCAGGGTGTCTGCATACCAAAAGTTGTCATTAGAAGTGTTCTAAACACAGGTTATACAGTATCTAATCTCGCATAGCCAGACCTATCTCCGCAGCACTTATTCGGCACTGGAGAATGGTTTTAGCTGCACATCAGTGTCATTCTTCTATAGAAGGATAAATACTCTGGCTTGTTTGTATTTCTTTAAACCAATCCCATCATGTCATGCACTACTAAATGCAGGACACAGCGATGAGATGAATGCAAAATCGTGGTTGGGGGTTTTGTTTTGGTGGAACATTTTCATGAGGGGAGGCGAGTCCTGTCATTAAAATGGCTAAATCACCAAAACAACCACGCAGGCCTGCCTCATTTCACATCTACTGCATCTAAATCTTCAAAACTTGAAATATTTTTGCATGCAGGTTGCTGCTTGAAGGCGGTTGTTTCCTGTGATAAATGAGACTTTGAAAAGGGTTGCACGCAGCCAGAGGAAGGGGAGAAGAAAGCCAATTGAAATAGAAAAGGCAGGCTTCTACCTGAGATCTACATCCAGTGATCAGACTACACTATCAAACACCTGAGCCAGCCTGCTGATAAGGTTTCAGAAAGCCCCTGGAGTCTTAATTATCTCACCATAAAGTTATAAAATCACAAATACACAAGCATCAGTCTAAAAAAATCTTGCAAAACATCTTCCATTAGTATTTCTCAACATTAAAAACTCTGATAATCTGCTTCTTCATGACTCTGTGGGAGTGATTTGATCAGAATTTTAACAACAGAAGCAAAAAAAAAAAACACAACACTACAACTGACACCACATTTTGCTTGAAATGTTACTGAGCTCTGATTGGTGCATGAAAATACATATAATGACAATTTTCCACTGAATCCTGCAACTTCAAAGTTGTGAGAAAATCAATGACAAAAACAAAAATAAAGAAATCTCATGAAATGACTAAAGCCGTTCAAGCCATAGGAGAGGATTTAGTGTTCATGTAACTACCCATCATTTATAGCAAGAGGCCACCTGAGAAAACACCATTTTTTCATGGCCTTTAAATCTCTGAACCTGAGGATAAACAGTGTTCAACTAGCAAATTGCATCCAAATTGGCAGATATATGGCTCTGTTATGTAGAACAGGATCATATGTACAGCGCTGTATAGGGGCCTATAGTGTTTTATTTACCTTAAGCCTTTAGCAGTTGATTTTGGACCGACCCCTTCATTAAAACATCAGTTAAAGGCGGCCTTCTTTGCAAGAATTAAAGCCATATTTGAAGAATTACAGCATGCCCTGTCGAAACAACATTATTTTACCGTCAACTTTATTTTGATTTTGACTTAGTGCTTTAACCAACTGGAGGAATTTCCCACTTCAAAGTTGATTGATTGAGCAGTTGATGCAAGGACTCACACTTTGTGACAGCTAGACATACTGTAAGTCTTCAGAGAATCATTACGGCCAGAGTCGGGTCCTACTGAGATTTGTAAACCTTGAAGTGATACCAAGCTGTAATTTGAATTATGATAGGATATGAGACTTTGAGGTTATTTTCCAAGACCTTTCCTTCCTGAATCTATGTGAATACATTTTGATGACCGTATAAATTCTGGTTTGCGCCTAGAAAATAACTCTTCTAACTGACATCCATGTGTTTTCTTAATCACATAATATGTTTTGAAGGGGTTTTTATAGCTTTTAGCTTCATAAAACTCATGAAGAATTGTGTACATTTTCCATTGCTACACTCCATTGTGACATTTTCCATTCAAGTATATGTTAACACTTTTCAGCTCAATATTTGTACTGCATCATTAGCTCATTTTTAGTGATATGACTCACTTAGATAGCTATTGTGACCGAATAACAGAAAACCACTTGGCGGTTCATCATGCGAAAAACTTAAATTACCCCGTCCTGGATGTTTTCCTGAACTCTTTTCTTGGCGCTTGTTTAGATCCAGCACGGCCAACTGGGAATTATTTAATCTGAGCTTTCTTCATTCCTTATCTATAAACAGGAAGTTTCTGTGTAAAATTAGAAACTCATACATTTCTCCTTATCAAGACAAACCCTTAAGGGAATGAAGAGGGAGAGACTTGCTTTTCATCTGTACTGACATGCTGATACACTGCCATGCTGTGACCTGAAAAGACTCTATTGACAAACCCAGAAGCAAAGCACACTGAACTTCAGTTGCATGTGTTAGTATCTGATTAGAAGAAATTAGGAGTCGGTGCTTCTTAGCTGTAACAGAAAACAAGTGGTTTAACCTCTACACTACTTCCTGAACAAAATGATTCCATCAATAACACCAATTGTTCTGACCTCTGCAAGGACCATGAAGCAAAGAGCTTCAACATCTGTACGCAGTTGTTGAGTACTAAACAAACCTGGCAGCGAAATGATCCTTAATTTGATAATGAAAGGAAAAAACAACAGTGACAGGGGGAATCAATCTGATAAAAAGCGGAAAAAACAATAATTGACGCTCAAGCGATTTTTCCTAGTGTCATTTGCCAGAGACGCATCATTAAGTCCCATCTTATCAACGATAACAGAAAACACAGAGGAATCCATACTGAGGAATTCAAATCAGATACAGATGGGAAGATGGAAGCACTACAATAGGGCCATTCAGGTTACCATAATGCACTGAACTCTTGACGTTATGACCCACCTCTGAACTTTGTGTGTCAGCCAGCTTTTCAGCTTTGTCATGGCGGCTCAGAGTGAATCCAAAAATGATACACATAAGTCTGCAGAATGAAAATTCTTCACTTTACAATAACAGCAAACATGACAGATAGGATCAGTCTATGTTTGTGACCCACACTGTGGGCCTGTTTGCAGGCTGCATGCCTAAATCCTCCTTCAAACAATTCTGTTGTTTCAGGGATGCTTGGGATATTCTTTTGAATATTCTCTTTGGATGTAGGAGTGGACACTGGCGAGCTTGGCTGTGGTTATCAAGGTCAAGCCACAGCGAGGGGAAATTAGTCAGAAAGGAAAACATGGTGAAACTGATAAAAAGATGCAAACACTGGCATCAACAAGGACTGAAAAGAGGAAACAGGCTTGTTCGCTGAACAGTCAAAACAAATGACTGCCCCTGCCTCAAATGGTGTTGGTCCTATGTGTGCTACCAAAACAACTTTGACCTACTGACATAACCGACTCTACAAGACCTCCAAAAGGAGCCCTGTGATATCTGCCGCTGCAGCATAAGTCTTGCATTTCTGAGACACTCTGACCCAGTTGTCTGTCCCTAACAACTCGACTCTATGAAGTGTACACAGGCCTTTACAGCTACTAATACCCCCCACATCCAACAAGGTGTTGCTTTTAACATCTACTGCATCCCTCACCAGGGTTCCAGATGAAGTTTTCCAGTGCCAGCACCACGATTTGGTCACACAGCAACACAGTTTACTGATGTAATGCAGCCTGTGGTACATGCTGACAGGCAGCTGTATGGTCTCACCACTGAAGTAACTGCAGGGCACTCAGACATGTAAGTGATATAAAAAAAAAAAATTAAAAAAAGGTATTCTAATGTTAGATTTACCCAAGTTGAAATGGAGTGATTTTTATCTACAGGAGCTGTTTTCAATGAGCAGAGCATACTTTATATGCCAATAATGCAAGTTCATTTAGGTGTAAGAAGTCAAAATCGAGATTTGAACACTAAATACCTGACGTGTAGATTCCAGTCTCTATATGTATAGGTACTAGCAATCTACGTATTGAAATTACTATATATATATATACACTATTATATATGGCTTATGGTTTACACATCAACAATCAGTCAAAACAGCAGTCACAACTGGACAGGTTGATATAACTAATTAACAATGACATAGGGAGAAATAGTCCATGAAATAATTAATGAGAAATAGGTTTACTCTCCCAAATCACCTTTCCAATCAGTGTATTCAACGGTTGTTTAACAGAGGTGATGGAGGTTCGCATCAATAGTTGATTAAAAACGCCTCAAAGCCAGCTGAGGCCTGGACTCAAGGACTAACAACTAATTGCCACTGGGACTATTTACATCTGTGCAAATCAATAATCTCACAGTTCTCTGCTCGAGTGGTGCTGAATAACAAAGCAGAAATACTTTTTTTAATTGTACTTTGCAGAAGAATTTTTATTTTTGGTTACTCCCACTTTTAAGTCAGAGAGTATTTCTGTACTTATATATAAAAAAGACACAAAGAGTTTTTAAACTCACCTGAAAGACCAGCTTTGCCTGAAAAAGCTAAAAAAAATGTCAAGGTGCTTTACATTTTTTTCATCAATCTGCCTCTGTCTACAGCCAGCAAACAGGATGTCTTGAAGGACTTACACATCTCCTAGCAACAGTTCATATATTTTTATGTACTGTGTGTAGCCTACAAAGACATGCGTGGCCTTGACGCAGACAGTTAGTCGAACAGCCACTGAAAGAACAGCAAATGAATGACGGAAGGCATGGAGGGAGAGGTGGATGGGCCGAGGTCAGATATAATGGACCAGAAGGAGGGAGTGTAGCGAGGCATTGATGGATGCGGAAAGAAATGGAATTAGAGAAAAGGGGAGGTAGAGCAAAAATGAAAAAAGCAAGATAAGTGGAGTGATGATACTATTACCTTCCTGGCCTAAAGCTTTTATGATTGATAACACATTTATCTATTCCTTTCTTGTTTGCGATGGGTGATTGCTTGCAGAAGGCTTGCAGAAGGCTTGCATTTAGCGACGATTCAGACGGATATGAAGGAAGGCAGAGCGGTGGCTGCGTATTTAAAGGAGCGCATTTCTGCTAAAGAGGTCACTCGTCTCCCATATAGTAGAGTTCTCAGAAACACAGAACATAGATTCAATCCATTTCAATATCTTAATAATGGTTAATAAAGGTTATATTGATTGTTTGGAGCAAAAGTTGCTTTATTTCAATGGATGCATTGATAATGATAATAATGTAATATCAATAACTTACATTTATGGACAGGAACTAAATTCATTTTATTAGTTGCATCTTTTTCTAATACAATTTGCACAACTTATATACTTCAAGTAAATTCATTTGACATACTTTAGACTTTTTTCAGACTTACATACATATGTAATGGTTATTTAACATTTTGTTTAATTTTCTAGTGCCGTACCTTCACATTACCCTAAAGCTGGACTGATGAGTGCTTTTTTATTAACATTAGATAAAATGTAATACAAGAGCTATCACTCGCTTTGCCCACACAGCAACTTTCATTGACTGAAAACAAAAGTTCCTTGATTGTCCACTTGAGGTTGGCTCCAAAAGCCTCATAGACCTCATAGACCTCCAAGTTAAAATGCTCGACTTTACAGCAGGATTAAACATGTTTATAGCCTGGTAGAAAAATGGTTTTGGTCTCTGTAAGTAATTTCCTGCATGGGGGGGAATTTTATATTAGTCATCTGTTTAACATGTATTAAGGCTTAAAGTTAGACATAATTAAGCGTGTGAGTAGCATCATATGACAATTAATGACCCAGGGATGTTGGCATGGCCCGCCTTAGCTCCACCTCTTTGCTCATTTATCAATTAGCTGGCAGTTAGGAGGAGTCAGGTACTGCCAGGATGGTGATGGCTGGAGTCACCACACTGAGACTTCCTTTCAGGAAACCTACAGTTGATGTTACGGAGGTTTCTTCCATCTTTAGATATACAGGCAAAGGCATTGACAGACCCACTAAGAACTACAGTTCAACTCACTTGTACAGAACACTTAACTGTCAATTGCTTTCAATTTTGGTTCACTCTCAGCAACCTTGTTTCCAGCTGCAGCATCTTTTTCAGTGGGAAAGCACTGTAGTTCTACCTTTGACAAACAACATCAGTGACTAGTTAGTGAGCGTGGTTGAGCATTATGTAATATTTCTCCCAGGAAATGGAGAAAACCAAAATAAAGTTGACGTGAAAGTAAATATTGGAGTGCAAGATGTGTAGGTTGCAACTGTTTATGTAGTCATCCATCATGTCAGCAGCATACGGCCAGTGTTACACTTTCTTCGTCTGTGAATGTCCGCATGACGTCAGTTTCGTCATCTCCCGAATTAAATACTGTGAGTAGTCCAAAATGTGTGTCCACAGGGCCTGTGTGCTACAAGGGCAGTAGTGTACACATGTGGAACACGTACATACTATTTTAGTGTGTATGTCTGGAACAGTCCTCCAAGTGGACTAGAAAGTCACACAACAACAACAACAAGTCAACAATATGTCTGTAGTGTCCACAGATGTCCATGTGTACATCTACAAGGGAGTATAATCAAGACTTAGGGTGAAAATTTCCAAGTTTTGTGTTTTAGACGTGTTGCTTCCAACTTTATCGACGTGTATAATTTAGGTAACAGGCTTCTTACACTCTCTTGGGAGTCATTTTTCAAGACGATATCCTTATTTTCCCCTTTTTACACCACATGAACTCACCTTAAATGCATCTGCTAGGATCTCTGCTCCTCTCTGATTGGTCCGTTTGGAAAGTCCCACAAAGAACTCTCGACCTGTCAAAAGAAAGTAATTCAAATTACGTAATGAATACAATACCTAGAAATTTGAATTTGTTAAGTCTACAGTGATAAAGTCAAAAGACCTGAAACGCCAGCAGTACTGCGAGCATGTGGAGCTACAGCAGCTGAACACTGCGGCACCACAGTGTGTACTTTCAGCATGCCTGTGAGGGAGGCCAACTGTGGTCAGTATGGTGGGGCACAAACAGACGGTCCTGAATGCCTGGCGAGGCTGCAGCAGCACACTGAGCTCAGGGATGGGCTCCTAATGTTGCTGCTGAGCCTTTACAATATGAGCCATTAGCCGAGGCCCTGCCAACAGGAAATGTTTCTAGCCCTGCCATGTGAAACCGATTTCAGCTGGAAGGAACGGCAGCACAGAGCCAGTGTCTAGAAACCCAATTAAGTGTACTATGCTTTTTCCTAGTGGCCTGCGCAGTGTAGAAGACACCGACCCACATTTTCACTCACCACACGACTGTAACAGAATGTACAGAAAATCTAATAAAGACCACCCTGTTCTTGTCTGTCTGCCTTCATCAATTTTATTACCTGATGCCAGAGGACTATGGCGGCCGTGGCAGGCCTTGCAGGATGGTACACAACAGTTTTGCAACAGATTATTTAACTGGGGGGAAGTTCTGCCGGGTGCTCTGAGACACCGGGTCACCGAGGTCACGCAGAGGAATGTTTGTGTGGAGGATCCCAAAACACAGATGCATACTTACACGCAATCGTCTGCTTACTTAGTCAACTGTCTATGACCTGTAGAGGTTCTGCTATTTCACTGTTCTCTGCTGTTTCCTGTTTACAACTATATGCTGGTATTTGTACAAGACTAACAGGTACAGCAGTCCTAACATGAAGTGAACACAGTAAATCCCTGACTTATATGTGGTTTGTCAGTTACACAGTTTGTCCCTGAACCTTCACTAAAGCTGTAACCAAGAGAGACACATCAAGAACAACAAGAACAAACAAATGAGTGACGAATTAAAGAAAAAAAATGAACTTTTAACTACTATAGTGGCTCTCTTATGGTGTTGGAACATTTCTCTGGTGTGGTTTGGGGCTACTCTACTGGTGCCCTTAGAGGAAAGGATCACTGCAAATCAATACAGATTTGTTCTGAGTGATTGCCTTTATGCCATAATGAAACATTTCTATCTAATGGGAATGGTCTTTTCCAGGATGACAGTGCTTCCATCCACAAGGCACAAGGGGTCACTGAATGGTTTGATGAGTATAAAAAGGATGTGAATCATCTACTATGACCTTTACACTCAAAAGATCTCAACCCAACTCAACACCTATGGGAGACTTTGCACCAATGTGTTACACAGGGATCTCTACTACAATCATCAAAACATCAAAAAAGGGAAAGTCTTTGGGAAAAATGGTATTCATCCCTCCAATTGAGTTCTTGGAGAATCAATGACAAGGGGATCTGAAGCAGTTCTGGTGGAACATGTTGGCCTGACACCTTACTAAAACTTAATGTTGGTTCTTCCTTTTTATACAAGGTAGAAGTGAAGAAGACCAAAAACAAAGCCTGCTTTCATACAATTTTAATAGACGTCTGCAAGCCAATCAAATTTGTTTTTCCAAAGGTCCTGGCCTAAAAAATGTAAAATACAACAGCTATTTTATAAAAGTCAGAGCCTTTCTGACACATTTTTGGCCATACACAAAAAAATCTAAAGAGGGACCTCCACACACCCAAACTTAAAAGTGGAGCACAGAGTCCTCCTGTAAAGTTTTTGTTTAGTTGCTCACAGCAACCACAGACTTATAGTACAGGCTTAAGCGAGAAATGTTACTTTATGAAACTGCTGAATGTCTTAAAAGCTTGCCCTGCTGGAAATCAAGCTAAAAGCATCCCGGCTTGTCATATAATCAATCAATCAATCAATCAATCAAATACACTTTATTTATGTAGCACTTTCCACACAAGCAGAATGTAGCACAAAGTGCTTCATAAAATGAAAAAATAAAAAAAAATAAAAAGCTTGTCATAGTAATATTTATTTCCTGGTGACAGCTTGAGAAGCTGTGTTCTGTTGCTAACATATTGTGAATTGGTAGAAACATGCAGGAAAAATCGCTTGGTCTCCAACAGGCTCCATTTAGAGCACAAACTTGACAGTTTACTGGCTTTAAGAACAGAAACATGATCAGTATGTGGGTTGAACCATTGAGTGTTTTAATATTGAAGGGTATTATGAACATTGAAGTCTGTTGTAAGGGTTTTAGACTCTTGTTAAATACTAAATACAAATATTTCCTTCTTTAGTCTGAAATAAACTGCAAGAAACATAACTCATTTATTTAACCCAAATTGTATTTGAGACTTTACCTTGCAGTTCAGCACAATATAGTGTAGGAGAAAACACTTAAGGGTGAATTTATTAACAATATCATAAGATCTCTATACTTTGTACTTAACATCAGTTTCTACGTTTCCTGATATAGGCCACACTGTGCTCTCTAAAGCCACAGTAGATGCAAACCCAAAGTTCACACCTTCCTGGTTTCATCTATATGTTCCATTACGGCAAAACAGAATTTAAGTACCCTGGGGTGTTTGTAAAATGTTTTTTATTTTACGATGGCCCTTGGCCCTCCCTCTCTCATGAGCTCACCCCAGTAAAACTGTTTAGATATATTAGGATCTAGATTGGATTGGATGTATTGAATGGCTGTAATACCTTTTTAAGACATAATGTGCCTTGATGAGCTCATATTTAAGCCCAAAACTCACTAATGATTGCCCTGTAGTGGGACTAATAAACATATGAGGAAGGCTTCAGGCTGCTGTTTTGACTGGCAGGATCATGCAAAAGTGAAAGGTTGAGTCAGCGATTCTAATCAAGTACATCATTTGTCAAATTCAGTGAATATGTCTTCACAGTCCGCTTGCTGTCTGTTCTGTGTGGACCGTACATGGGAAATAAACAAAGGGACTCAGTCCACACAGTACGATCCCAGTGTCCTGTCCATGCTCATGCATGGTCATGGTCATGAACAGGACAAGGCGAAAGGGAGTGAAAAGATGGATCATTGAGAGAGAGAGGTCAACACGGCCATCTAAATAATGCTGTGTAACTAAACATCAATCCTTCTCCAGACTCCAACTGTAATGGGCGAGTCATCTAATAGAGTGACAGAGCAACCTACCGGTGAAAAGGACATCTCCTCCATCCAGTGTTGCATTCTCATCAGTCATTTCCACAATGTTGAGATTCAAATCCTTCAGAGCCCCTTTCATTAAGTCCGTCTGGAACAAACACAAGGACACAAGCAGAGATACACTTAAAACATCTGCTGGCATTGAACAAAACACTGGACTGTGATGACATACACTAAGCTACTTCAGCATTTCCTATCTTGAGGAATATGATGATATGGTCCACTTCTAATCAGACATGTGTAAACAAGATGATGAAAATCAGTTTGGGATCTTCACTGGATTTGTGTAAGGCATAGTCTTTAAGAGAACCCAGGTTCCTGAGATTGAGTGCAATGAAACAAAACCTTTTCTCTCCAAAAGGTTGCGATGACATCATTTCAATGAGGCATGAAATGATGTCATTTCGTAGGAAGTATGTTAAAACTTTTACAAGGCAGTGGCTGTGGAAAATAGGTACGCTGAAGGACCAACACAAACTCTGGAAATACCTCTTCCTGTCCTCCTGTTCTGGGTCATCTGCCTTCCATACATTTATAGGAAGTACGCTCAGGGATGGCTACAACCCAGATATTTCTAGCATATATTATGAAACGCATCCTCTTATGGAAAATTATGGGAAATCTACATTTCACATGCTTGTCCTCTCTGCTGAACTGGAAACCTGAGGAAAGAGCAGGTCTTTTTTTGGCCCAACTCGGGCTGGTCTGCTGTCCTGTCTGGCCGCCCAGTGCGATTTTACTGTCCTGTTTTTTGGGGTTCCTGCAGGAGTAGTTTCCAAGGCCAGTCATGTTAGCAAGAGCATCAGTGTTTCCACAAGCCCTATCTGACTATGACCTCAGCCTGCTCGGTGTGCTTTTTGGCAAACATAATGCTTCTGCTTCTCCTCATCTACGCACGACCGAACCATGAGGTCATCCAGGTAGACGCACTACCAGATAACACAGTGGAGGCCTGCACAAGCACAGATGATTGTAGAAATATACTTTCCTGTCATCTTCCCAAACATGTTTATGCACAGATACATACACAGTAGGACTGTTATTAAATAACAACTCTCTATTTTTTCTCACCGTTATTTAGATAATGGTTTCTTTAAATGGCCTCATGACCCATAACCAGAATGGCATCTTTCCAATCTATTCACTTCCCAGAAATAAGACAGTGGAATCCCGCAAAATAATCAAACTTTCCTCCTCCATGTTTCATCTTCACTGTAGGCGTTCTGCTCATCTTTCTGCTTCAGTAAACCAGGAAGAACACAGCGTCCTTCCAAGAAACTGGGTTCACAATTTAAAGTGGTTTCTTAAAAGCTTTGACAGTAACAGCGTGCAGCATATTAAGTATAGGTAGCAGCTAATCCTGCTCATTTTTTCTTTGTGCGTCGCCAAGCCACTCTCTGTTTTTTATTTACTTCGGTTTGCAGATATGTTGGGTGGGAAATAAAAGGTTGAGTCAGGTTTTGAGGAACGATCCAGATGGGTGAGAGAGAATTTACGCTTCTGATGTTTGTTCAAGTCACATGTTAAGATTTCTTTGTGTGTCACTGCAGTGGAATCTGAGCTGGTCTCAGAAAAGCGATTCCTGCACCATCACTGACTCATCATATGCGATGAAAGTAACCAGTCATGAAAGTCAAAGCAGACATTTTACAAAAAATCCTGTGTGCATGTCTGTGTCAGTGGGGTCAGGTCTGTACCACAAAGGTAAATAGCTGGGTCTGTTTATTGGACTTGTCAGACTTTTACCCACTGGGCCTCATTCATCAGCCAATGTTTCCCTCCTTACTCTCCTTATCTCTGGTCTTCACTATCATGATGGTCACCTTCACTGGAATCTGCTAAATTATATGAGGCAGCTCTTTACCTCAGCACTCTGGTATTTCCTCTGACATCACTGGAGGTGGTGTGACCCAAAGGGTGCTCAGGCTCCCCACAACCACCACATGAAACGTAACAACCCCCATGCAGAGGCGGCAGTATGGTATCTGCTCTGTCTGCTGTGTGGTACATTACTTAAGCTGTCTGACCCAAAAACTGCAGCACATATGTTTGAATGAGAACTTTAGCACAAATGGAAAATGAGACTTGAAAAAGTATCATGAATGAGTTCTACGTCATCACATTTTATTGCATGCTGTTGCCAAGATGTAGTATATACAGTTTACGAATAGTCACTCGCAATCAGATCGCAAACTACATACACAATGTTGTCTAGCACTTGAAGAGAGACAGTACAGGCGCAATATGAAGCTTCCCCAGCTGACTACTTCCAATACAGCAATGACTATTTCTAGGACAAGTGTTCCTAAATGTTATGTTTAAATATGCAGATGGGGTATTATACATATAAATGCTCTAATTTCCCTGAAGTTCCAGGTCAAAAATAAAGCCAAATACTGATACCTACAGAAAATACTTTCAACAGCCACAGAAAAAAAAAATGATATATATATATTCACCATGTTTTGGGGAATAAAAAGTTCTATAAACCAAGTCATGAATGATATAAGTCCCTTGGTAGAAACTCTCAGAATATAGAAATAAATACAAATAAAAGTGAAAAGTTTGGCATATGTAAGTCCTACTAAAGTGATTTATAGCTCAAATTATACAGAAAAAAATCATTTTTAGAACACATCCTTCACTGATATATATTGTAAAAATCTAAATTTGTATTGGAAAAACTGTTCATGATCAACATTTGAAACTAACAGAATTAAGACAATTTTGTTTTATATTTTAAACTTTCTGAAATGTGTTTAAACAGGCAAAGCAAAACAAATCATGATAAAAATGAATAACTAAGTGTGCATTTTAGATGTTTGCTTTTATACTTTTCTGAAAAGAAGAGACCTTACGGAAGTAAAACATCTCAAAACGGGATGTTTTGTCCGCTGTGTCTAAGCCTGAGCTGCTTCTAATTTATGCCTTAAACCTGCATACGACCGTGGAAGCCCAAATAGCTTGATTCTTCTCTGGCTGTCTGTGAAGTCAGGAGTGACACTGAGGATTTGGCTGTTTTATGGGTGTACAGTAAATTCGCTGAGGATCAGCTTCACTAAGCAGCAACCCGGTTTTGGGCCTGTGGCAACATTAAAATTGGACAGGTAAGCATGAGCTGTGCCGGATTTAATTCCTGGGTAGGGGCAGTACTTTATCTTGAGGGAATTGGTCAAGTTTACTCCTAAAACACACTGAAATCTGACGCATGCTCAACAGGGACTTAGTAGCATCACTCAGGTGCTGCACAGAAAAGGCCCAAAACTTGTTGTTGCATGTCATACCAAATGATGCTCAGGTGCCAAATGAAGTCCTTGGACTCTCCTGGTCCACTGGAGCAAATCTTGTTTATGCTACAAGTATCCATTTAAAAGAAAGACTACAGTGGCCATAAACCGATGCACCTGTTTAGCTACAAGCTCTCTGAGGGCTGTGGTGTTTAAACACTTCTCAGTTGGCAGCGAAAGATCTCACCTGAGCCAAGAAACCCATCTTGACACCATCACACCTCTACCTGTCTCCGTTCTTTATCTTGTTTATGGCATGTTTTGAGAGTTGCTATCAACATGTTGCAGCAGATTCATTTCGATAAATAACCTTTACTTGTGCAAAGGCAGGAGTATAATGTGACTTGTTTTTTTCCCTGCTGTCACACATCTACTTCCAGGACCAATGAGGTTTTTGTTCTGGCACGCAAATTTCTGTCCGTAAGACGACAGCCGATAGCGCGATGTTCCAAGAGAATTTATGAGGTGTCAAAACTAAGATCACACATCTTGCACAATGTAACATGACATCAAGCCATCAAACAGTGCCTCAGCCTCTTAACCCTGTTTGTTTGCTGCTCTGCACCGGAGTCACAGCCGAGTTATTCCCTGTCAGTCAAAGAGACATAAACAAGTGTGCTTCAGTTATTAACTGGCCAATGGAAATAACTGACATTTAATTATCTGTTCTTTTTCTTCTGCCATCGTCAACATTATCAGTCTAATTAAATGAAAAGTTCTTTATGAGTTTTGCTACAGTTTGTGGCAGAATGTTAGCAGAGCTTTAATCATGATTGACAAAGTCCTGTTCGCTGCTGCAAGGTTGGAAAACAATTAGCATGCCGCTGCAGGTCCTAAGCTGCTCCTCACAAAAACACCGCCAATTAGACCACAACAAACCTCAAGTTAACATTTTATTTCTTTAGCGATATGTCTTTACGAGCTTGTGGAAGTTCTGGTGTTCATTACTACAAACGGTGGCTTCCAACGGAGGTCTGTACAGTTCAGTGTCAGGCCAAGGGTACTTTTCTGCAGTAACACTCAGTTATCATCAGAAGAACACTGGCAGCCATTAAAGGAACAACATACATTTTGTGCTTATTTGTTTTACTGTCAACACACAGATGAGAAGATGGATATTGCAGCCCATACAGTATACAGCAACTGCATTACTTTCAAGTTGAACAGGAGCATTATTGCACTCATATCAATGGAAAAACTATAGCTTTTGGTTCACTTTTTTTGAAAATACAGGCACCACAGTCGTTACTGAGATTCAAGTCTTCATATATCCACTGTTTTTTTTTTATTTAAAAAAACAAAAATTCAGACTTAATCCTCCTCAGTATGGAGGACACCAGTGTTTTGTGGAGAGATGTGCTGCCAATCTTTAGAGACATTTTTTTCAGCTGCTCTTTGCGGAAGGGGTTGTGTTGCTTGACCTTTCTCTTTAAAAAAAACAAACAAAAAAAACAAGGTGCTCTGTTGGACTCAAATCAGGCGACACACTTGGCCAGATCATAGTTTTCACTTTTTTCTTCTTGAGAAACTCTGGTGTGATTTTGGCAGTGTCCTGTGGATCATAATCATGCTGGAACATTCCTCTTCTGCCAAGCCTCTTGCAGACTGGGAGTCATCTTGTCAGCTAGTATTTTGGTATAGTCACAGACTTTAATAGTGGCATCCATAAATGTCATCTCCTCAACCCTTTTTTGCGCTCATGCAGCCTCGTATTATCGCACTTTCACCACTGTGCTTCACTGTCAGGACTATGCATTCACTCTCTCCTGAATCAGCCCCTGTGGATCTGATTCATGTTGGC